GCGCAGACTCTGGCAGTGACGACGACAACCAGGGCTGGCAAGGACTTGAGGACTAGGCTCCTATGGATGTGGGTTGTGCTTAACCCGTTGGTGTTTCTGTACAAATATGAAAAGTCTACCTTACGATTCCCCAAACCAGCACTTCAATATAGATCACGAATTATCATTTTTTGTTTTTTGCACAGGCTGTTCAATCAAGTTCCGCTTCAATCGCAAGGGTTGGAAATCATTATCCAATTTGCCCTGTTCCTCCAACACACGCTCTAAATCATCTCCATCGCGATCGTAGTATAGCGCCCAACAGCCATCGTCTTCTTGCACTGCCACAAACTGCCTGTTCTCCTCCAGTGTCACTGTGGTCTCCTCATCCTCCCAATCCCACGGCCCAACAACATGATCGCAACTCGATGACCGGTTCCCATACTTCATTTCATGTGTGTTACTATCTGCGTATAGCCAACCCAACATCGGCGGGTTATCTGAAATGGTGGTCGCCAATCCGAAACCCCGCTTGAGGTGCTTCATATGGTCTGGCTCTGGGTACTCAATATAAAACGCTGCCGCGGTGTGCGCGGGGACTTTTCGCTTCGAGGGCACAGGATCATCAAGATAAACCTATTAGATTAACATAAATCAGTCAGCTAACCAGACTCACTTGATATCCAAACCACCAAAAATAAAGAACTATGTAGCAGCGAAAACACTTGATCGTACCTTGAAGTCCCTCAGCACCACCCGTAACCCTTGAACCTCATCGTCAGGTTCCTCATTCGGTGGTGGTGCGACATCAATATTAAACTTTGCCATGCGTCGCTCATCATTCTTCCTCTCATTTGCTTTGCGCTGTTCACTCACCCCCATGGCCACGCCGGTGACGGTGGGGATGGCGGTAATTGCTAGGAGACCGATAACCATATTGATTGCTAGGTTCTTCACGCTTGTTGATTAAAGATTGAAGGTAGACAATTTGACTAATAGAGAAGCGGTATTTTGAGTGAGCTAAACACTGAGCATCATATTTGTTTGTATTAAGTACAGGCGTAGAATCCAATATCACTTATCGCTGGTGGCGGTGCCGAGCGTCGTCATATGTCATCGGTGGCTGACCGGGTTCGATGCCTGATTGCTGCCTGGCTCATCGAAGGCTCCAGCAACTACTCTTTGTTGTCTCCACCTTCCGATCTATTCATCTACATCCTATGCGCTTCCCTTCGCAAGTCAACATGGAGAGGTAATGACTCCTTTTCTTTGGAGCATCCCAGGAGAGGATTATAAAGTACGGCATGCGCTCTATCCAATGCCTTGGTAGCCAATCATTCTTAGGCATCCTCACTGGCCTCCCAACTATGGACGCTGACTCGTGGGACGTACTGAGCCCGCATTGCTATTGGCTATGAAGCAGTCCATACCATGTCGCAAGGGTTATGCGGCTGAACAGACGTGCTATTTGAGACTACTAAGTATTTGATATACGGAGTGGAAGTTTTGAAGGTACTAATACGGAATCCCTTCCATCTCAAGGCCGACATGATCATTCAGATACTATATTACAATGTTATGATTCGACTGCCATTGTGAATCAGTGTAAGCTCGCAGTTAGTTGTGTGGACCCAACCGTTGAAACTTGTCATGCTACCTACCATAGGTATGTGGCATTCAGGGTCGGGAATGCTGCAGAAATCTAGCAATGTCATTACCTGGAGCTCTGGCGAGTCGGTCGTTGTTGGGCGAGACTTTGTGAGATACAACAAAATGAAATAATAATTTAGGCCGATACAGCTCGATTGCAGGCATGGTATCGAAGTTATACACATTTCAACAGGCCGACTCGGATTGCTTCAGGCATCGACTGTCGCTGATACCATGGCATGATTCATACGGGTGTGGTGCAGCAGCAAGGGGCAGCAGTTCCAAAGCTGTCTAAAACAGGAATTAATCACCCCCCACAGTGACAGTCCTGCCATTCTCTCATATAAGTCTAGATAAGCCATCAAATATTCTTGGAATGAAGACCACCACCATGTGCAACTCTTCGCATTCGTCTGCGGCTCAAATGAGGACCTGATTGTGATGCCATCCACAATGGTCAATGAAGGTAGAGGTACGCTTAAAAATTGTCCTCCCTCCGTGTGATCTTTGTTCATTCTTTTCTGTTGACGTCTTGGGGTCCGCAACGATTAACTCTACCAAGCAATGCACCGTCAGCATCCGTATGCCCTTCCCGCCTGGTTTGTAGCGGAGAATGTCAGGACCAAGTCAGAGCATCGGACACCAATCCGTCTACATCAAAGTAGTAACCTTAACTTTCAAAGAGATAAGGAAGTGGGTCCCTGTACGGATACTGATACAGACGGTAGAAGCAATAATGGGATTGACGAGGGTCAAACTGAAGCCGTGGATGAGTATGTCTTTCAAAAGAAGCGATACGCAGAACTCTATGACCTTGCTGCTGCTGCTCTACTCAGCAAGATTTCGTTTCCAAAAGTGAAGCGAGGTGGCATATGGCCTTGCATGGCAGTGGAAGTTGAAAGTTCTGCCTGCGCTACAGCCATAATAGAACACCTAGCAAGAGATATGGGTGCATCCTGCATCTCGGCTGGGCCTGAGGATCTATATAAGCTTGCTCGTGAATTTCATCAACAAGACGAATCGGCTCAGCAGCACGAAGACCAGTCTTTTTGTGCAGATTCTGTGTGTCAGAATGAAAATAAGCCACCGGTATTCTATAAAGAGACGGTAGAGGGTGCAGACTCAGCTATCTGTCTCAATGAGGACCATAGCGACACTGTTTACGCTATATTTGAAGATAGAGATCAGATGATCGATTGTTATTTCGGAGACGGAAAGAGTCTACGGAGTCAGTGCTCAATAGAGTCTATCTTGAATGCTCATCTAGCGAAGATTGAACAAAAGCCTTCGACATCTGAATCTTGGAGCACGGCCTCAAAGCAAAGTGCTCGAGTTATACTCCACCTTCGCAACTCTTACGAGATTGACTGTATATCTTACGATGTCATTCAGAACTTCAGGAATGCCATCATGGAACGTTGGAAGAATAATGAGCTTGTATTGCTTATCATCAGCGATATGAACCATGACTCTCGACGGGAACTTAACATCACACCTTCTTTCATTGTTTGGTTTGATGACCCAAAGTCATTGAAACACCGGATCGCATCAGAAACAGAGAAGAAACAGCTCGACATTGCGAGGAGAGCTAGAAAACTGAAAGGGTCTATACGAGAAAGGCTGCCCTTCGGCTTCGCTTCCGAGTTGCTATCCGACGCCGTACACTTGGATATACCGGATACTTTGTTAACTGATTTCCATGATGATATGGACTACACGCTGATTGCTTGTCAAGTTTTGGGGCGGGTTTGCGTCAAAGGGGTACTGGAACTGAGTGACATACTTGAAGTCTTGCAGCGTAATAGTTGTGAGCAACCGCAGCCACCAGAACCTTCAAGGACTGAGCCTATGGAAGTTGAGGAGCCCAGCTTCTCCAAAACGGTTGATGCAATTAGGAAGAATTGCAACAAGTTCGAGCTAGGGCTCTCAGAATGCATCATCAATCCAGGTAAGGGCGTCTATGGCCAAATTCTGACTCCCAGGCTAAACGGGTAGCAGAAACTCAGAAACACACCTACGAAGATATTATTCTGGAGCAAAATGTGAAGGACCACATAAGACAATTGGTACACTTGTCAAAAATTCAAATCGAGAATTCCTCAAAGACACCCCCGGAACAACCTAGGCCTACAGGAGTCTTACTTCATGGACCTCCTGGCACTGGGAAGACCCATCTTGCTCATGCAATCGCCAACGAGTCCAAAGCGACCATGCTCCGAATCAAACCAGCAGACATCGTCAGCGATGTTGAGGGGGATGCAGAGAAAACAATACATGCCGCATTCACACTAGCCAAAAAGCTATCACCTTGTATTCTGTTCATCGACGAAGTCGATGCCCTGTTTTACCGTCGCTCCGCTGACGATCACCCCTGGCGACGAAGGGCCCTGGCCCAGTTCCTCCAGGAAATGGATGCGCTATCCCAGGATGAAGACACACCCTTCGTCCTGTGCGCGACAAGCCGTCTCACAGATCTAGACGAAGCTTTCCTGCAGCGGTTCCCCAACAAGGTTATGATAAAGTCTCCAGGCGAGGAAGAAAGACTCAATATTCTGCAAACATTCCTCAAAGAATCAGACATTGACCCCCAAGTCAGCCTAAAGACCCTCGCACGTCAATCAGCCGGCCTATCTGGCTCAGACTTGCGGTCACTCTGCGGACAAGCTGCGTTGCACTCTACTATGGATGATACATCCTCGCAGTCAACGGGTAGCGAAATCAAGTCTCCGACCAAAGTCCATCTTAAAGCCCAGCATTTCGCCGAGGCTCTTCGGGACATAAGACCTAGTGTATCAAGGGGTTCCCAGACCGACATAGAAGCGCCTGCTCGTCTCGTCACTCGCGGTAGTATGAAGGTATGTTCGCCTAGCACAGTACATCTAGCTTGATACTAATTCAAGATTATTTGTAGACCGGCCAGAACGGAAGGAATGCGAGAAAAGCGACAGTTGAACCAGAGTCCCCTGTGTCGGATAACGAGACTGCTTTTCTTTAGCTGTGACAAGATAATGAGGATGCTTATATTTTGGCTGGAGTTTGGCTAGATCAGAATAAGGCGACTACTTTGGCTATAATCCCCAATTCTGTTCTGGAGACCTGCAAATGTCGGTGGCACGGCAATTACAATAGTGGCATGAAGGTGGCAGCCCCCGTTTTGACCAATTCAAGGATCGACCATCTTCTCTATATTATTACCTCGCAAGCATTTCGAATCAAACAGTGTTCCATGTCTAACCAATCTGTGGCTCTATTCTAGCATGTTGACTATAGTTCTAAGCAATCAATCAGTCTACGTCTAGACTCTATCATCGTGTCTCGTTTTTCATCGTGACGTCGTGGATAATATCTTTTCCCACCCTCTTCTGACCTCCCTAGAGCTTCTCGCTCCATCCCCATACCGACCACCAACACTTCACCTCCAACGCTCCTCCATCCGCCGACTCCCAATCGTCATAGCCAATCTCCTCGCCCTCGTCCACCACTGCCAGCCCCAACCGTCCCATCCGGTCCCGCAGCTCCTGCACCTGAGGTAGATACGCATCCCGTAGTGGCATTTCCAGCACAACACGGGCATCCAGCCCCCTACTCAGCCAATGCGTGATCGTGTCGACCAGCAACTTCGGGTGACTAGGCGAATACAACGGATCCGCAGCAAGGATGAGATCGTACTGCTCCTGTGCAGTGGGCAGCGGGTCCGGGGTGTCAGTCCAATCAAGAACACCCGTGGTGACAACGCCGCCTGTCCGATTGAGCAATTCAACGTTGAGAGCTGCGTTGTGGGCTAGGTTGGGCACAATGTCGGGAAGGTCTGTGAGGTGGATGGTGGCTGATGAGCCTCGCAGTGCGGCGAAGGAGAGGCCCACGAGCCCTGTTCCGGCGCCGAGTTCGAGGGCACGAAGGGTCTTGTTGTTGTCTGGGCGGGGTTGCGGGGTGGTGGACGTGGTAGGGACGAGGTTGGGAGTTGAGTCGAGGAGATTGTGGAGGCGGCGGGAGAGGAGGTATGAGGAGACCCAGGTTTTCATGCCCAGGTTGTCGGCTGTTAAGGAGGGTTCGTGGAGGGTCAATGTGAATTCTTCGCCTTCGAGTCCATCGGATGTGGTACTAGGGATGCTGAAGACTCGGGACATGGCGGGCATGGCTATTCGCTCGAAGAGCAAGACATCATGTTAGATGCGGCAAGACAATGGCGCAATAAGTACTACAAATATAATATCAGTTCTGCGTACCGGTTCGACCGGAGCGCTCGCTGAGTCGTGCTGCAGCGGCGTCCCAGACGGCCTCCCGGAGCTCGTCAGTGTCGAGCCATGCCAGCGGGCTGGCAATGATGGATGTCAGATAGCGTGTCACTCCGGCTGGCTGCACAGTCCGGGTCTTTGTCGCTTCATGGGCTACGGGCCCGAAACTCCGCGGTTTGACTGTTAGCAGGTCGAGGGCTTGGATGAGCTCAGTGCCGGAGGGTTTAGTATGGATCTGGGGGAGATCGAACACTGGAGCAGGCTTATCAGTACATTATCGCCCCGAGGTGTTAGGGGGAAGTTCCGAGAGAGAAAACGTACCGTGGAGAGGCTCGTCGGGATCGGCGCTTATCATGGTGTAGAAGTTCTGAGGGCTGATTAGTCCGACTACGGATGGTGTAAGTCTATGCGGAGAACGAGAAATCGAGGCTCCAGTCTTATATCGGTGTGCCTGTGGCAAAATAAGATTGGGCGGTTCTGGATGCAGGGCAGCAAAAAAAAAGTCGTGATTTCCCAAATAGGAAAGGCTGGCGGGGACTGTTCCGCGGATCGGATTCGCCGCCCCAAAGATGGGCCGAGATCGAGATAAGAGCATGGATCAATGGCAAATAAGAACAAGCAACTTTCTAAAGCAATAGAACTAATCTCGACTTTGGTATCGCACCCCAGACGCCTGGCACCATGCCCCACTAATACCAGTGAATAACTCCTGCAAGGCAAGTTCAACCCAAAGTGGCCTTGAATCCCAGATATGCTTGCTCAATGTCAAATGCCAACTCCCGGGCCTGGTCTTCACCGAGTTCCTCAGTTGCACGCATCTGATTCAATGTGATCAGCCACTGGATGATCTTGCCCCGGTTCTCAAAGTCGACATCGGTGACTTTATTAACGGACTGGATCACTTCCGACAGAAGCGGGTGCAGGGCGTCCTTGGACACCATGTTCAGCTTCAGTGCATCCAAAAAGGTGATGAAATTCTCGGTAGCCGTCAAGATCAAGCTACCAGATGCTCCTGCAGGTCCTGCTGCTGCTGGAGCCATGTTCGCGGCGGGTGTGCTGTGGGAGGCTTGTTCGACTGTCGCGGGGAGGCCGATGCGGAGACGTTCAGTGGCGCGAGGGCATTCCAGCTACACAGGATCAAGCCAAATGGTCAGACTCCATCGTACAATAAGTTCACGATATTGGTACTCACCTCCCAAGTACGTTTGAAGGTCTCTAGATCGACAAACTCGTTCGCAACAGTCTCATCACCCAAACTGGACTTGTACTGCTTCAAGAGCCGGGTACATGTCTCCGTGTACTCTGCTTCCGTAACCACATCTTTGATATAAGCCTTCTCCAGGCCATCCAAAGTCACGATAATACCGTAGATCTCAGCCAACGACTCGTAGAGATCCCGCTCCGCCGCGCTGGAAGCTAGTTTTACTTCCTACCGCAACAGTTAGTCGATGATCTAGCAACCCTCTTCATCCTCCACGCGACTCACTTCATCAAGATTTATAGACGCCGCCAACGCCGGGTTTGGCGTATAGCTATATGGCGTAGGGGCGTACGCCAACGGTCGCTGGGTATACATGATGGTGCGATGAGGGGAAGAGATGATTGGCATCATCGCGAGGGGAAGGGAAGGCGGTCACCATGACGGGGCCCCACTCACCGCCCCATTCTGCCGCAGGATGTTTTTTTCGTCTCCAGATTTTTCTTGGGCGGAATTTCCGCGTGCTCGAAGTATCTCGACTGCCGTCGTGGTCCTTCATTCTACTTTTCCCACCCATTTTATCCTATCCGTTCGGTCGGGTAGGCAAGCATCTCGGGCACAATGGCCGGATCTCAGAAGAAATCCACCAAGAAATTCGAAAAGAAGCACCTGAAGGACGTTCTCGAACGCCGGAAGGCCAATGCGAAGATCAAGCAGCGCAACCACCTCAAGGACAAGCGTAAGGCCGATAATGCCAAAGACCGCGCCAATCGAGAGGAGGCTACCGAGGAGAGCCCCGAGCAAGTTCAGAAGCAAAATGCTTTCGCCGATATGAACGTCGACGACTTCTTCGCGGGCGGATTCGATATTGCTGATTCTGCCGCGGAGTTGAAGAAATCCCGGAAGAAGGATGTCACACCCAAGATCGGCAAGCGCAAGCGCTCCGATGAGCAGAAGGAGGAGGAGGAGGAGATTTCTGCTGCTTCCAGCGCTGAGGAAGGCGCTAGCGACGAAGACGAGGACGCCGCCTCTCAGTCCAGCGACGCCGATGACTTCGAAGCACACAAGGACCAACTCGAGGCGCTGAAGGAGAAGGACCCTGAATTCTACAAGTACCTGAAGGAAAATGACGCCGAGCTGCTCGATTTTGGTGACCACGGAGACCTTGCGGAAGTGGACGAGCTGAGCGAAGGAGAGGAAGAAGGACCGGCCAAGAAGAAGAAAAAGGCAGCTAAGGAGGAGGAAGAGGAGACGATCAACAATACCCTCACTATTGCGATGGTCAAGAAGTGGCAGAAGTTGATGGAGGAGCAGCACTCGGTCCGCGCGATGAGACAGGCCGTTCTTGCTTTCCGCGCCGCCGCTCATATCAACGACGACGCCCAAGAGCAGAAGTACGCGATCTCCGACCCCGACGTGTATCACCAGGTCCTGGTGACAGCCCTCAGCACCATTCCTCGGGTTCTCGCTCACCACCTTCCCGTCAAGGAGACCGCCTCTGGCAAGATCAAGGTGTCTCTGGATTCGAAGAAGTTCAAGACTCTCACGCCTCTTATCAAGTCGCACACATCGTCGGTCCACGAGCTGCTCACCAACCTGTCCGATGAACAGACTCTGAAGCTCACCCTCTCCTCCATCGAGCCTATGCTTCCCTACCTCCTTCAGTTCAGAAAGCTACTCAAGGTCCTTATCAAGACCATTGTCGGAATCTGGGCGGACGTTGCTACCACTGAGGCCACGCGCATCACGGCCTTCCTTATCCTCCGCCGTCTCATGATTATCGGCGATGCCGGCATCAAGGAAACCGTCCTCAAGGCTTCCTACGAAGGTGTCGTCAAGGGCAGCCGCAACACAACCGTGCACACCCTTTCTGGCGTGAACCTCATGAAGAACTCCGCCGCAGAGCTCTGGGGCGTCGACCAGAACGTCTCCTACACAACAGGCTTCAACTTCATTCGCCAACTCGCCATGCACCTTCGCAGCAGTATCACCAACACGTCCAAGGAATCGTATAAGACCGTCTACAACTGGCAATACGTACACAGTCTGGACTTCTGGTCCCGCGTCCTTTCCCAACACTGCGACGGCCTCGCCGAAGCCAAGGCAGGCAAGCAATCCGCCATGCGCCCCCTCATCTACCCCGTCGTGCAGATCACCATCGGTGCTATGCGCCTAATTCCCACAGCGCAGTACTTCCCTCTTCGCTTCCAACTCACCCGCTCCCTCCTCCGCCTCTCCCGCAGCACGGGCACCTACATCCCCCTTGCCTCCAGTCTCCTCGAAGTCCTCAACCTGTCTGAGATGCGCAAGCCCCCGAAATCCAGCACTTTGAGGCAACTCGACTTCAACACAGCCATCCGGGCACCGAAATCCTACCTCCGCACACGCGTCTACCAAGACGGCGTGGGCGAGCAAATTGCCGAACTTCTGTCTGAATTCTTCGTCCTCTGGACAAAACACATCGCCTTCCCGGAACTCTCTGTCCCCATTGTCGTCTCGCTGAAGCGCTGGCTGAAGCAGGCTAGCTCCCGGTCGGGAGGTAACAAGAACGCCAAGGTCAATCAGATGATCCTGCTGCTCGTGCAGAAGGTGGAGGCCAATGCACGCTTCATTGAGGAACGCAGATTGAGCGTCTCTTACACGCCAAGAAACCGTGCTGAGGTGGAGACATTCCTGAAGGATCTGGACTGGGAGGCTACGCCGCTGGGAGCTTTCGTTAAGTCGCAACGGAAGTTGAGAGAGGAGAAGGCCAAGATTCTTGAGCAAGGTAGACGCGAGGACGAGAAGCGGAGAGCCCAGGAGAAGGAGGAAGCTGGGAAGGATGTCATCATGGATGATGTAATTAGTGAGAATGATGACAGTGATGATGACGATGAGGACGAGGTGGAGGATGAGAGCGAGGCTGGTTCAGGTGATGACGGTAGTGAAGATGAGGAGGAAGAGGAAGAAGAGGAGGAGGATGAAGATGAGGAAGAGGTCGAGTTCGAAGAAGAGGAGGATTAAGCCGTTTAATCAGGCTCCTTTTGTACCCTTTTTTTTTATTTCTTTTTTCACTGTCTTGTTATATATCAGTCGTAGCTTTATGGGATATATCTTGTCTGGTCTACTGGTGTCAATATAAAAGTTAGAATACGTGTGTGGTCAAAGCTGTTTTGTTCGTATGTTGCGCCATAGTGTACACCACTTCCAACAAGTGCCAAAACAAATATATGTGCAATAACTTGATTGATCGCGTACTGTATACTCTAGAACTAGAACAAAATCACAAAGAATCACAAACAAAATCACAAACAAAATAATCACAAGAACTAATAACAAATCAGAAGAAACAAAAAATGAATCATTGCAACCAACCACACAACATCATACTACACACCTTTTGTGATAACATGACCTTCACCATATAACCCAACAACACAGATATTCTTCAACCGAACATTCGAAGTGAGCGAGCACTTAAACCGAACCTATAGGCATCTTATCACTCCCCCAAGCACGAGACTGCTCACGTCTCATAGCAGCATCTTCCTCCTCGGCCCACTCAAGGGACTCATTCGGCAGCATAACAGCGCGATCAATAGCGACCGGAAGACCCCTGTGGCGACCACGCAGCATGACAGCCGCCAGGATAAGCTTGCTGATGGTATGCCATGAGGAACAGAACGAGGCATTCGAGCTCGGAAAGCCCACACTGATGCCGACGCAACCGTAGGCGGAGACGACCTCGAAAATAATGTTCAGGGTCGAGTATGCCACGGGCATGCGGCTGTAGTTGCCTGATTCTGCGATGGCGATGAGGAAGACCGCAAGGGCGATCCACCAAAGGTCATGGCTCAATTGGGAGCGCAGTTGCTGGTGGACGAAGTAACTGCGGGATGCTTCGGGGGTGGATGCATCTTGGCGTCCGAGAAGGTGGTGTCGGACTAATTGGATGAACATGTTTGGAGAGGTTTTCTCTTCGGTCTCATCGTCTGTGTTGTCATGGGCGTAGATCCCGAGAGAGCGCTCTTCGTATACGTTTGTGTTTCTGTGGATGTTAGTGGTGGACTGGGAAGGAGAGGAGCGGTTGTTACTGACCTCATGGTGACTAGCACAGGGTATGCTGATACATACTACATTGGGGGTTAGTCGGTTGATTCCTTTTGGCTCGAAATACTGATAAACTGACCATCATGAGGACTGTGGGACGTTAGTATAGTTCTGGTCAAAGTCTGGGGGGAGTAAAGTGCTTACCATATAGAACAAGTAGTCCTTGGCGGAGATTCGCAATCGTGACGACGTAGAAGCCGCCCGCTCGTACAGCTAGACAATAAAATGTATCAGATAAATATGATAACCCATAACGAAGTTGGGTTTAATACGAACCACAAGCCTGGAACAGTCCGTCTAGGACCCGATAGCCCGTCGGCAAGCTTTCGATCTCCTTGTTCCCGATTGAGAGGACTTCAAAGCCAGCCCAGTCGATCGCATTCAAGATGATAATGGTACCGAGCAAGTACCATGTATGTCTCCTTGGGAAGAGATTTGTGTAGACCTACGCTTGGATTAGCGCCTGAAACTGTGCAGAAACTTGATGGTCGATGGCATACTCTTCTGGGATGGTCAAGGATGAAGTCTAGGGTGACCTTCCAGGCCGCCCATGACGGCTTATCCGGGATCACGCATCTCATTGCCCAGATAATAAACCGCAAAAAGCATGGATAGAGCGTATTCCCAGATAGAATCAAGAAAGCCATGGTAAGCAAAGGGTACGCACTTGATAACGATCAGCATACTTTCAATCGTAACACACACATGGAAGATCATACTTTGTCTGGAATGCAGTCATATTCGCATCCAAGAGCGACATGCCGCTGTTCACAAATGCGGACACGGCAAAAAATGCGCCTGTCCAGAAAGGCGATAGGCCGTTTGCTCGAGGTATATCTGGATGATTCACTGCAACCCAGGTACCCATCCCAATGATACCACAAAGGAGGAACAGGACCCAGTAGAGGGCAACAATGACCAGCAGAAAGGAAACAGCCTTATACTCGACACCTCCAAGTCTCTCTCGCTCTTCAGGGGTAAGCCCATGGAACTGGGAATTTCGTGCGATAGATCCTTTCGATCTGAAGTACTTCTGTGTGCCCTTGATAAGGCCTTTGAGCGCAGGTAGGTCTGCTTCTTCATCGTTCTGAGTCACTATTGGCGCAGCATCTCGGGGGTGGTTATTCAAGTCAAGACGGGCCCCAACGCCTACCATGGGGAAAACGCGGTGGTGGTGATGATGCTTCTGACGTGCCCTCATATGGTTGAGGGTGACTTGATCATCGTCGACCCATTGTATCTGGTCGTCAATTCGTACGCTGTCGTAGTTCTCCGCAGGTGCAGCTCCTGCTGTCACCGCGTGCTTGACGTCAACGGTAGTGCCGTCAATTTTGGCCAGCTGATAGTGTTCCAAGATTGGTTCAAGTGAGGTCGATTGAGGCTGATGACCGTAGGCATTCGTGTCGTCTCCCACCAGTTGTTGCCCTAATGCTTCACGGGCACGTTCAAGTGGAATATCTTGATGCTCCGCTTTGTGGGCACGCCCAGGTAGTATGCCTTGTTGCTCGAATGCTCTACGCGCACGTTCAAGTGAGATGCCCTTGAATTTGGCTTGAAAAGCGCCCATCCTGACGAAAAGCACCGTAATCGAGATGAGAATAGCATGGCCCAACAGTAAGAGTGCGAAGAGAATAGACTGTTGGAATGAATTCATGGAAGAAAGGTCGACCTGTTACGGGTTACTTTACTAGCTCTGTCGGGGGAAGCAAACCGAAGCAACATACGGTATTCAGTCCAGCACCCGTCATAGCACTGATACACAGAAACAAAGAGTCTGTGTATGAAACACTGCGCCGCGGGGTCGAGGAACCCCAGAATATGACGCTGCATATCAAGGACGTCGCAATAAAGTACACATAATGAAGTGTGAGGAAATTGAATGGCGGAAGCATGGCAATTATGCTTCGACTCAGAAGCTGCCGCCAGCCTCGAGCTAGGGATCCGTCATGTCAGTAACTGAGGATAACTAGTTTGCGGGATCTAAGATGGTGGATATAGTAGCTCCTCTCCTTTCTTACATGCTTATGGCTGCTTTCGTAGCCATGATGATATGCAAGGGGCAAAAATCCAGGCCAATTTAGAGGATTACAGCGAAGAAAGGGCACCTAGAAGGCATTCAAGCAAAGACGGACTTACAAGTCATGCTGGCAAGCTGCGACGCGCGCAAGATTTGTCAAGAGGATCAGGCGGCTGTGGGGGGAGCGCACACCGCTAGCCACAAGGGTTTTGCAAAAATTTCTGAAGGGTTCTTAGACGTGTACGATAATTCATGTTTCGATTTCTGATCAGTCGTAGCATAAGCAGTCCAGTCAAGGTCACTGATGGTAAGATGACCTGAATGGTAAACAATATGAGTGGGTAGAAAGCTTTGGTGTTGACGCAGTGCTACAATAGATAGCAGTAAATAGTAGACGCAGGGTTTATCTTCGGCAAGGGTCGCGATAGTAGTAGCTTGGAGAAGGCAAAACAAAGTTCGGAAATTCCTAGTTTTTGATCAAATAGTCAAACTTGGAAAGATAAAATCGGCGAAAAAGCGTATGTTATTCCATTGCAGCGAACATTTCGACAATAAGACTCAGGTTGTTCAAAAGTTGTTGTGTTTGTAGGGAGGAAAGAGCGAAAAAGCCTGCGGCAAAGAAAAAACGGCTGGCGGCTTCGTGGGACGGCAACGTACGGCAACGTGATTAAGCACTGCGGGCCGAGATTGGATCTTCGCCTCCCGCTGGTTTCGGCTTCAGTTCCCATCTCCCTGTAGGGCTCTTCTTCCTCCGGCTATCTTCATGGAGAGTTGCCATCCAAGGAGGAGAATTGACAGTCTTATTGCCGTATGAATATATACGTATTTGAATGGTGACTGCTCATGATATTCTCCAGCACAATTGTTCACCGCTCTTCTTTGAGTCTGTTCTTGTTGCTTGATTGCCACGGGTACCAATGTCACCCTTTCAAAGGCCTGGATAATAGGACTGTTGGAAACAGTAGCCTGGGTAGTTTGTGACACACGCATCATAAGCTCAAGATATCAGTCGTGGCCGGCAAACTAATCGGATTCCAGCATCAGTATCGATGCAGTTTCTGCCGCGCCTTCTTTTCTATTGTCTTTGCCAGGGATACCACGCACTTGATTTTCCGGCTCCATTCGACTCTTCGGGGTGTATAAAAGGCCTATATCCACTCTCTATATTAATCGTGGGCTCCTCAATTCATATTATGAGTATTCACACTACTTTGGACCCTGTAGTTTGGTGTCATGTCATACAAGGTCGGGGTTGTCGTGACAGTCGATCGCGCTACATATGCGAACCTAAGGTAGTGCAATTCTCGTGTCAGTTCTGATCCTATATGATCGATATACTAACGAGACCCATACCACGTCTGATGCCTGAATATGGTTGTAACCCGACTTGTTGACAGGTATCATTGTGGACTGGTCACCCATGATTCAAGGGCTTTTTGCCGAGAACTTGAATAGAGCTCCTGTGTGTACTTAGTAACGAGACCAAAGTGCAGCCTCATCCACACGCAATAGATGCAGCTGTATATATACCAGACTCGACACAGCCATAGCTCCGGAATAACATCATTGAGGAAGATAAATCTGCACGCGAATGATTGTTGGAAGTGAGGGGGAAGTATAGTCGAGAGTCTGTCCCAAACAGGAATAGCCAGCCTGTCACTGTAGAATGACGAGATCTAATAAATATTATAAGTTGACTATAAACTGACTACAACTCACTGAGATTATTACTGAGCACACTGAGACTTAATCAAGACAAGAAAAAGGTCAGGGCCTTGAGAAACTAACCCAACGATCAGACTTCTCCTGCATTAGACTAAGAATCCACGGGTTCACATATCCCTGAGCATGAAAGAGTGCTCTTATGATGTGAGAGTAAATTCAAACATGTTATGGTATGTTTAATTCAGGCAGTTTGGTGTTCGCACTGCAATACTAGTGCAATCATACTGGTTCATGTTCTCAGGCCCAATGTAACCTCAACCCAACCATTCTTGTTGCCTTGACTCGGAGGGCAGTTTCCTCCACGTCTAACAATACTATTATGAAATTGTATCTCTTCATAAAGTTCTACAACTCGGACAATCACATGCAGCAGTTTGAACTGAAAACTCAAAAAGAGAGCCAGTCTAGACCTGGAAAGGAAACCGATGCGAGCTTGTTGGGTTGGAAAGCGGTAAGCCGCAACCATTTCTTCAGGTAGCCTGTAGATCTCCAGACCCAAACAGTCAATCATCTCTCTCTCTTCAATACCCTATCATCGTTGATTGGCGACTGCTAAGCGACAGGTACGCGAAGATGCGATCTGCGGGTGATCCTCGGTGCTTCCCATGTCTCCGAGGCACAGTAATGCGGGGTCTACATGTTCCATGCGTTCAACATGCACTGCCGGGCTTCATGTGCCGAATACTTAGTTTCCCTCCAGGTTTATCTTTTGCTCCTTTAGGTGAAAGAGGCTCCCACCATGATCGATGTCAGGATACCCTTTATGTCCATCTGATATTTTGTTGGGAAGACTGATCCGCTGTTTGATGCTTGGAATTATCAATGGAAGGAAATCCTTCACATGAAGGTAAGTCTTTCGCCCGAGCGTCCGAACTCCGAAGACATAGTATAAAACATCATGGTCTCAATTCCTGGGGAAAGGCATCCCATGGTATCAAAAAATAATATACCGCCATCATGACTTCTGCGGGCAACCCAAAAGATTCTATGAAATCCACATGGCGTACCGGCAACCGGGACGAATGGGGCTTCAGCCACTGGCTGCTGGAGCTGCTCAATGTTCATCCCATTGCACTTGATCAAAAAGTGCCGGTCCATTCCAAGCAGGAGAAGCTACCTTATATGCCCCAGTGGTCTCTTAACCTTTGGGTTCTCTTTTATGCGGCTGTTCCGCTCGCCATCAATCAGGCCTACATCTCATATATGGGCCACAACCTCGGCCCATTTGCTCTGTTCAATCTATACTTCTTCTCGTTCAACGCGACAGTCATTCACCAAGTCAAAATGCTTCGTCGCCTCGGACATACCTATGGCTTCCTTGACGGTGACCAGCATGAACGCGACGGTATTCCCGATGTTGGTGTGCGGAAGGTTACCGCCTCGCTCTACAAGACGACCGGCTCTCGCCTCGTTATGGCGATCTACCTTTCCTACTACAACCAAGCACCCATGGCCATGGACTGGACATGGCTCCCACTAATGATCGGCCTCTATGGCATTGTGCTTGACTTCTGGTTCTACTGGTACCACCGCATTATGCACGACGTTAGCTTCCTCTGGAAGTACCATCGCACTCACCATCTCACGAAACACCCCAATCCCCTCCTCGCCGCTTATGCAGACCACGAGCAAGAGTTCTTCGACATGGTCGGTGTGCCGTTCATGACCTACATGAGCCTCAAATTCATGGGTCTTCCCATGGGCTTTTATGAGTGGTGGATCTGCCATCAATACGTCGCATTCGCGGAGGTCTTTGGACATAGCGGTCTTCGTGTCCACATGACAGTGCCATCAACACTGAGCTGGTTGCTGCAGTGGATGAATGCCGAGATTGTCATTGAGGATCATGACCTTCACCACCGCAAAGGATGGAGGAAGAGTCATAACTATGGCAAGCAGACTCGCCTGTGGGACCAGATCTTTGGCACGTGCCATGAGCGTATCGAGTCTGCCGAGAGCAACGTTGACTATACGAAGTCTGTCTATATGCCTTTGTTCTAGACTGCCGCGATTGGAATATTTGTATCGGCTCTCCAACAGGTCTCGAACATGCAGTGATTGCTGCCGGATTTTCACGATGAAGATGGATGATTTAGATATTATATGACGAGGTCACGACAATGATGAACAATATCAATGGTAAGTGGTCAGCAAGACAGAAAGGTACAAACTAGCGCCAGCCATATATACACTTAGTACATATATTTGTTATTTCGGGTCAATCAGAATATACAGCTTCGTATCTCTCCAACACGTCATTCCACCACATAAGCCGCAACAATAAACCCAGCACAAGTACTTAGCTAACTATCCACTCAACAACATCATTGATACACCTAGATCAAATCATCATCCCTAGACACAATCTAGACCACCCCTCAACCCTGTCCCTCCCCAAACCAGAAAATATCCAACTTACATCAATCAGCCCCCGTCCATCCCCATGTAAACCATAAACCATCCAATCGCCACCCACCTCATACCCTATAAACAATGACACCCCATCTACGTAGCTCCCCCCAACAATCCAAATTTACCCAGCACAGCACAGCACAGCAGCGCATCTAAAACCCGCACCTAAACATACACCTCCACAATTGCGCAATCGCAATCGCAAAATCTAGACTCTCTCCAAAAATAAACGTAGTACGTGACCATGACATGACACTACCAACTCCCCTATCCAAAGAGGTCGACAACCATTAACACGGGGTTCATGTTCCACGGAAACTAGAGTTGAACCCGCGTGGCGAGCCAATATCAGGGAATGAGCTCGCTGCATGATGCGCATGGAGAACTTGAATTGACTCTTGATGATGATGGGTTGTGGAAAGTTAATTGTGAATTGCATCAGGTTACGTACTTTACTTCACTTCACTTAGTACATTGAAGGTTGTTGATGTCAAACGGGTGACATTATGACTTCATGGGGTGGTTGGGATTTGGGTATATATATGCTGTTAAGTTCGGGGGTTGAGATGAATTTGGTATCAGATTCAGAATCAGAATACTACTATCTACTATTATCTAATTTAATAGACGATAAACTACTTGTTTATACCACCAAATCATCAAAATGGCATCCAACTCCAACCCCGGAAACTTCGCCAACCGGTCCCACGACGAAGTGTCGAATATCGCCAAGAAGGGTGGCCAGTCTAGTCACTCGGGCGGATTTGCCAGTATGGATCCTGATAAGCAGGTAAATCATATATTCCTTCCTCATGCTGAAGACATTTTGAGTTAGTCAAGTTTTGGGTGAAGATACTGACTTGACTGGCTTTTAGCGCAACATCGCATCTCAAGGTGGCCAGGCCTCCAGCGGTAGCTTCCAACCCGGAGACCCTAGAGCCCGTGCTGCTGGCCAGAAGGGCGGATCAAGAACCCAGTACGATCAGTATGATGAGGATGATGAACCTGAGGAGTAAATTATCTCTCACTACTGCTCAGTGATGGTTTACTTCTTAGTGGAGTGGAGGTAAACGTTTTTGACGATCGTTATGAGATGAAAGGATAAGGGCCCTGTTTTATGATAATTGTTTTCTGAGAAAGTGTATGTACGTACTGGCGCCAGTATACACAAGGCGAATATGAAATGTGTGCACACAACCAATATTGTTCAGTAATCTCTATTCGATGATCTTGAATTGGGGAGGATAGTATCGATATGGACTGGGTTTGTGGGGTGACATCACAATATTGCCGTTTCCGGTCGGTTCAAATCGACGCATCATGTGAGGTCATAACATCGCCCCTTGAATGTCATGGTGTTGTATATTTCTCATTGATGCCGAGATATTCGGCATGTGGTGGCGATTTGTAGAGTTGCAATGGGTTCATGTGCTACAGTCAGCGGCTGCGTTGATGTTGCTGAAAATAGTAGAGCTGCGAACGATAACTTCTGCCTGAGGTCTAGACAGCGTTGGAGTGGAAAATTGAGTGCATTACTTAAGCGGCATGTTCAGCTCACTGAACATGGTACAGAGTTGATCTACCAAAGGTTGGATTGGTTCTGCTCACTCGGACGAGTAGCTTCAAAAAACTGGTTCAGCGAATGAAACGACCACCAGTGCAGTCTTCAATTCTAGCCTTATGGTTGCTGCCGATTTGCGTCTGCACCAACCAAGGCAGCCTCGAAGAAAGCCTTATAAGGCTCGGCAACTGAAACAAGCAGCCAGCGCAAAGATTCAGGAGACCCAAAGACAAGACAAGACTCCGGGCCAAGAAGAAAACGTTCTATTTTTTTCTTTTTTTCTTCAACTCAGTCGTGTGCAGTCTCAGCCACAGATCTGCAAATAGATATAGAATACTTTCATCCGTAGCATGAGGCAAAAGTTTTCGCACGAGGCTATTCGCAGGGATCTGCCATTGAAAGCGCGCTAGGCAATGGCAACCGTATAGTTTATCGTCTCGGTTTCCTATTAAGGTTATCGTGATGCTGCGGCACCGGCTGCGCCCATCAGGGGTTTCTGGAAACTAGGAAAAGATTTGCTCAAACTAGTAGAACCTAAGGCCCAACTCAAGCCTCGAGTGCCGCACTACCGAGCCTAGAGAAGAGCAGAACACACTTCAACTCAATAGAACCGTTTTGGTGCTGGACGAAAACTGTGCAGTCTCCCATCTGGGACTGGTGGAACGGTCAGTGATCGGTGGTTCGCCGTTCGGACGAGTTTCATCCATTCTCCTTCCCACGATTCGGATCTGAAGCAGAAGTTGCGACTTCGTCAAGGCCTAGAATTGAACTCTAGCGGGTTAAGTTTCGGCCGGATCAGCGAGTCGTGGCCACCTCTGTCAGGCCATAACCATCTCCATCAAATTTTAGTTATCTAATGATCACCCGTCCCGCGATGTTCCTTTTGAGTATGTGCGCCGGGATGATAAGATGCCACTGGCGCTGCTCGGACATGGGCGATACGCCCACTGTATGAGAAAGTACCTTTTGTACAACTGTCTTCGAGGCGTGAAACGGCCCTAATAAGCCTTAAGCCGGGGAAGAATCCTTTGGTCTTCCAGAGGAGAAGTGGACCGGGTCTTTCTTCAGCGCTTAGTATCTAAACGGTTAGATCGTAGCCCACCTAGTAGGAGTCTAGAGCCGATAGAAAGGATAGATACACAGACTATCTACTCCATGGATAGCGCTGGGATGAACCACCCAAAAGTTTCAAGACCGAACCACTGGGTGCGAAGCGAGAAAAGCAAAGAGTTGAAAGTGGCTCGTAGTGGGCTCTCTCTCCAGGGCCATCAGTTCACAGTCAAATCAACTGGGTTTTCTGCTTTTTTCTTCCATGGCAGCCCGGCGCCAAGCTTTGCTTCCGGAGCTAACCTTTTGTCGGCCAGGAACCGGGTTTCTTACCCACCAGAATTCCACACCGGCGCATCCACACCAGGGGACCAGCACTTGAAGAGTCGAGATCGAAGTGGTCAGCACTATTGGCCATTCTAGAACATCTGGATGCATCAGCCAGAGAGCCCTGGAAGTGGACTCGCTCCCCTCGACCACACAACAATTGTGTTGATACTATGGTTTTTGTTTGTTGTTCCCCATTGTCCCCTCCAGAGGCCACCCCATCTGTCCCATAGATCGAGTCATCAATCACATTGGTGAAGACTGAATAGCATTCCAGACTCATGCAGTCTCAGCTACATTATCCACCCCTTTTTTATTTTCCAATCAATCATAATGCCGATGTGGATTGGTGGACTCGCGGAAACTGTGATCACAATTGCTGTGAACAGATCGCAGCCGTCGGCTGATTCATGGCGGTCATTGGCTGTGGCTGAGCCACTAACGTCATAAAGTGGTGATACATCGGCCACTCCAGGTGAACAATCTTGCAGGAGACTACTGTGATTGGTGCAAGCACATTGTCAGGAATTGAGATTGTGCTCACCTGTGCCGCCGTTTCATTGCCTCGGAGAAACAGACTTGAAACGGCAAGGTGTCAGAAAGGGAGGCAAGAGGGACGGGAAGACACAATAATTCATGGACGGTCCATTCACAATGGGGGTGAGAAAAGAGACTTCGGGGCAACCATCTAGGGGGCGGCTCGCGAAGAAAATCTCGCATGCCGACCTTTACACCTCCCATTCTCGTCCAAAGTCACCCGACAGAGAGTTGTCCGGAAGGAAGGGCCCCATTAGGTTGGCCTACATGCTTCTTGTCTGCACAAGGGATGTGTACTACTGTACAGTGTATGCTGGGTGGTGAGAGTTGGCCATCACGGTCAATCCCACACCTGTCAAGGGGAGTACACAATAAAAGTAAACAAGGCCCGGGGATCTTATCGACGATCTCCTGATTGCACCAACTGTAGAATTCTGCTTGGTAGCGTTCCTGGTTCACGGTACATAGAAGAGGAGACGGGCGAAAACCGGTGCGACTACGACCGAACTACACAAGTAACTAAGTCAGGGAGGGGAGGGAGAGAGTGGATTCCCTCCCTAACCAGCAGTGGAGTAGGGTGCTGCTCCCCGGAAGCCCTAACCCACTGAACTTGCCTTAGTGTCCAAGGGGCCAGCCAATCCAAGGCTAAAACTGTGTGGGGCGGGCCCCCGTAGCCGCTGAGTCAGCCAAAGGACGCGCAAGCCTTTTCAGTTACCTGAAATTCTGGGTGGATTTCTATTCCTGGCGTGGAGAAACGAGTTGCCCATCTGGTCTCTTCGCGCTGCTGTGTTGCTGCTGCTGCTGCTGCTCTGCCCACTCGGTCTTGTAACGTTATCCCTCCCTCATTAACTCCCGTCCGCCAACCTTGGTCGATCCCTCCCTTCCCATTTTACCCATCATCTCTTCTTCCCTTACTCTCTCCATCAATCACTACTACTACTATCACTATCCATCCATCTTCACCCATCTAACTCCTCCTTCCTGTTTTTCATTCTACCCTCTCCAACGCTATCGTTACGTGTATTGTCTTTTCGATATCCCTTATAGACTACTCGCTTCATTGCTTACTAGTAACCCTCCTGAATCGATTCACTCTCACCCCTTTCTACCTCGGATCACATCAACTCCCATCGTCTCTCGTTATCAAATCCAACCCACCCCTTTCTCTGCTCCGACCGTGCACTTGACCAAATCGCGCTGGTCTTCGCTCTCGTTTATCAGGTTGCGCTACTTGAACAGCTTTTCACCTACACATCCTCATCACCATGGCTACATTGGCAGAACATCCGGCGGTCGCGCCGTCAACCTTTGACCAGGACATCGAGTCTTTCCTCGATCTTGATCAACTAGCATACACCTCCGCAGAGCCCGCCCGCGCAAAGACCGCCCTGGCTGCTCAACCCACCCTACCAAGCACCGAGTTCAACGCTGGCGATGTACGAAGTGCTGGTTTTGCCTCGACAACAAGTCAACAAGCCCCGATCGCATTCCAGGGTCCCAGTCACCAGTATGATGAACACAAGCAGCAGACCGGCCTGCCTCCAGGCGCCCTGGCTCATGCCATGACTTTCAACAACCACATGAACGGCATGGGTTATGGTGCCCCGAGTCCCGGTTTTCCCATGGGCGGAGACTTCTACCCTAGCAGCCAACTGAAGCGCGAAGAGCCTTCCATGGATTTCAACAGCCCCCCGACTCGCAACACCTCGGATATGGACCTGGAGTCCGACAACATGGGATCGGTTCCTGGCTACTTCATCTCCCCGAACCCGAGCAACAAGAGCCAGTTCGTCGACCCCAACGCTTTGGGCGGCCATGAGATGGCCTCCATGGGCCCTTCCACTCAGGTCGGACGCATGTATCCGGGTATGCACCAGCAGCAGGCTGCCATGGCCAAGGCCGCTCAGCAACAGAAGCACAACGAGTACCTTCGCCAGCAACACCTCCAGCAACAGCGCCGCATGGACGAGCACATGCACCACAATGCAGCCCCCCACAGCCAGACCCCTCGCCCCTCCAATCCGGCTGTTGAGGAACGCATCTCCCGCCTCTTGCAACAGATGCGCCAGTCTGCCTTGAACTCGCCTGACGACTCCCCCTCTCCTCCTTCCCTCCTGCCTCAGATGGCCAAGGCCAAGAAGGAGGAGCAGGATATGGATGAGGATGAGAGACTCTTGGCTAGTGAAGAAGGAAAGAAGCTCAGCAGCAAGGAACGTCGTCAGCTCCGGAACAAGGTTTCCGCTCGTGCTTTCCGGTCTCGCAGAAAGGGTATGGAATCCCCTGTTGGTGTAATGACCTGGACATGAAGTGACTAACCCGTTGTTTAGAGTACATTGGTCAGCTCGAGAGCGAGGTTGCCGCCAAGACCAACGAAGCCCACGAACTGCGTCTGCAGAACCGTTCCCTCTTTGAGGAGAACGCCCGTCTCACCGACCTCGCCCGCATGCTCCTGTCGTCCCCTCACTTCTCCTCGTTCCTGGACGAAATGGGCCCCAACGGTCTTCCCCTGCCGAGCCAGGTGCAGTCGCAGCCCCACCCTCAGCACCACCAGCACCCTCAGCACCCGCAACAGGCCCAGCCTCAGCAGCAGCCGCCCCAGCAGCAAGCGCCCGCCATGACGCAACCGCCTATGCAGCAAGCTCCTCCCGTTGGTATGGTCATGGTCCCCAACCAGGGACTCGATGTCTCGGCCATGGGTATGAACAACGGTGGCTGGAACTCCGGTATTGACATGAACTACGGCAACCCCTCCGTGTTCGCTGTCCTGGAAGTCCCCGAGCCCGCCATTGACACCGAGGCCCTCTCTGGAAAGACCTCCAGCATCGTGGACTCTTGCCTTCCCAGCGTTGCCAGCTCCAAGGACGAGGCTCCTGTTCTCGCCTCCATGCCAGCTGTTGCCGAAACCGAGCAGAAGTCGGATGTTGGCGTTGAGAACCCCGATGTCGTGATGGACGAGTCGGACCCTGCTTTCGCCCTCTTTGCTGATATGCCTGCCGCCCCTACATCGCAAGGTTCTGCTTGTGCTTTCGATGGCATTGCTACTGGAAAGTCGGCTTTTGAGCTTGTTGTCGAGGGCGAGGTCAAGGACAGTGCCCAACAATTTGCTCATCTCTGCCACAGCATGGAAGCCGCTTTCGAGCGCGTGTCCATGATGACTGCTCATCTTTAATGATTCCCCATGTCGCGCACTTTCGAGCCTTATAAGTACTGTAAAGCTGGTTCTTCGTTTTTGCTATTTAACCTTCTCGCTAGTGGTTCGAAAGACTATTGAACCTGCCATGTAGACACCAACGTCTTTCCTTTGTCAATGATCTTGTGTTTATATACTTCTGCCCCACGACGTGGCTCATTCCTGTCTACGCTTATTCTTTCTATTGCTGCTCGTCTTTTCTTCTACTTTTTTCTTTTTCATCCTCTTTTTCAGGGGTTCGACGGAATGGCTTCTGGTGTCTGGAAGAGGAAAGGCTACTTGGGATTGGAATTTGGGAGCTTGGAATTATGGATTGTCCGGACTGGCTATTAGGGAACACATCAAGATACAAATTAACTCCATATCAAAAGTTGAATGACCTTAGGATCTGCGAGCCTTTTGCATACTTAGATTGTATTAGTAAGGAAGTAGATGACCAGTGGCAGACTCAGTACTGCTTAACTAGCGTGGAGGAGCTGCATGGCTTGAAGTGGTGGAAAGTGGCGATTGTCAGCCCCGAGAAAAAGTTGCCGGGCGGAGAAGCTCTGCGACTCATCCAACTTATTGACAACCTCTCATCTCCCACCATCTCCTTTATCTTGCTTTTTTAATTTAGTTCCTATGAGATGACGGACCGTTGACATTACTCGCATTTATCCTAACCCAACTGCATCTCCCTTTCCCATCAAGTTGGCTTCCCTTCTGCGGTCCGCGGCGCTATTCGCCAGTGTTTTTCGCGGAGTTGCCGTCGCTCCCAGACGTCCCTCGCCAGTCCTCCTCCGAACTTCGATCCCTCGAGATTCTCGCGGCTCTCATAAAAAGGCTTTATCCCAGAAGCGCGATTTTGCCCAGAAGCGCGGGCCGTCAGCGTCGTCGAAGAAATCTCAGATTGGCCAGCCAGTGGAACCGGGCACTTACCTACTGCCTGCCCCTCGACTACCTTTCCGACGCGGACAGAATTTCCTCCTCTACAATCCCAAGTCTTTTCAGACATCAGGTTTCGGTCCTCCGCCGACGCCACCGACCGGCAATCCCCCAATGAAGTTCTACTACGAGATCCTGACCACGCCAACGGCCGATACCCCAGGCACGACGGTCCTTCTTCACTTCCCGGACAAGCGTTATTTCTTCGGTCAACTGTCGGAGGGCACTCAGCGCGCATGTACGGAGCGTGGCATTAAAATAACCTATCTGACCGACGTCTTCCTCACCGGCCAGATACAATGGGGCAATACTGGAGGATTGATTGGCGTTATCCTTACGCTGGCTGATGGGATAGCCAGTTCGAACAACGCTTTGGAACTTCTTGCGCGGGAGAAAGAGGAACGCATTAAAGAAAGTGGACAGGCCAATGCGGCTGCCAAAAAGGAGCATGGAATGTCATACGCGGTTCACGACGGACAGTTGGTACCGCAACGAGGAACTCTGACAATCCACGGAGGTAGAAACCTCACACATACCCTAGCCACCGCACGGAGATTCGTCTTTCGCAAGGGTACACCGGTGTTCACGCGCGAATATGATTCGGAGGGCATGTCGAAACCCGATCGCCTCGGAGCGGAGGATCCTTGCGAACAGCCTACATGGTCGGACAGCAACATCAAGGTCTGGGCTATGCCTATCAGGTCTTCCCCCGTCCCGCACCTGCAAGCGACGTCGCAGGTTCGCTCAATGAGCCCCAGGAAGCGGAGCCTCGACGAGTTCGAAGAGAGCAACAATACGTCAGAGCCTATTGATGCGCGAACCCGGGACCAAGTCATCAGGCAGTCTGTGATTACGGACATGTTCAACTCGAACTGGCGACTGGATGCTCTGCACGAGACCAAGTTGGCCGATGTGAAGATGCCGGCCGCGATGTTCGTTCGTAACCCCGTCACCAAAGACCTTGAGCAGTACAAGGGACCTGCCCCCGGAAGCAATGAGCCACTCCCTGATATCACGGTCCTCGTACGCCAACCGTGGCCCGGTGCAGCCGTCGAGAAGATTCCTCATACTACCTGGTGTCAGGAGTCCGTTTCCTATATCATCCGGAACCACGATGTCCGGGGAAAGTTCGACCCGAAGAAGGCTCAGGAGCTGAATGTTCGCAAGGGACCAGACTATGCGAAGTTGACCAAGGGAGAGAGCGTGACGTCGCAAGATGGTAAGACCGTTACTCCTGACATGGTTTTGGGCCCATCCCGACTGGGTAAGGGAATGGCAATCATCGATTTGCCTACCCCGGCACACGTCGATGATCTGGTAAACCGGCCCGAGTGGAACTCCCCCGCCGTTACTACAGGCCTGCAGACCTTCCTGTGGATTTTGGGTCCTGGAGTGGGTGATCATCCACGGCTCCACGAGTTCGTTGCGAAATTCCCCGAGTGCGAACATACCGTGTCCAGTTCGGACTATTGTCCCAACTACCTGTCTATGAAGAGCATCGCAACCTCGACAACGCGGATGGGTTTGCTGAGGCCTGACAACTACCCAACCCTTGTTCATGACAATGTGTCCCTCCCGCAGCCCGGCACTAGAACTGCAGAGCCTGCCACAGAACCGAAAGCCGTTGCCCTGAAACCTGTGGCGCCCGGTGTCATCATTGACATGGAGCCCAAGTTTGCGCTCAATTACTCTGAAGTGGAGCCGCATTTTGAGCCCGCACAGGTGCAGCGCCAGATGCCTTGGGCCATCGAACAGCGCCTGAGCACCATCCGCAAGCGTGTCAAGAAGGAGGCGTTCACGAAAAAGCTCGAGAGCTTCCAAAAGGATCTCCCAGGAGCCAACGTGGAGATCATCACCCTGGGCACTGGATCCTCCGCTCCATCCAAGTACCGCAACGTCTCCGCTACTCTTCTCAATGTCCCTGGATACGGATACTACCTGCTCGACTGCGGTGAGAACACCCTTGGTCAGCTGAAGCGTGTCTTCGCACCTGAGAAGCTGCGTGAAGTCTTGCAGAATCTGCGGATGATCTGGATCAGTCACCTTCACGCGGACCACCATCTCGGCACCGCTTCTGTCATCAAAGCCTGGTTCCAGGAGAACTACCCCGACGGAATCCCGCAGACAGACGAGGTAGAGATGGACATGTCCAAGATCCTGCAGGAAAAGCGACTCTTCGTTGTCTCCGAACAGATGATGACAGGCTGGCTGGAAGAATACGCCGCTGTCGAGAACTACGGCTTCGGCAAGGTAATTCCCCTGAGCGCCTCCCCCTACCTCCACCAAGGCAACATCCGCACCCAATTCGTCTACCGTCACTGCCGCGCCGACGGCTCCTACCCCGGCCACCAACTCGAAGCCACCAGACCCTCGACCACCAGCCTCAGCTTCCACGACCAATCCTCCCCCCTCACCCCTCTCCTCCGCTCCGCCACCGGCCTCTCCGACCTCCTCACCACCCGCGTCTCCCATTGCCGCGGCGCCATGGCCGTCTCTCTCGTCTTCCCAGACGGCTTCAAGATCTCCTTCTCCGGCGACTGCCGTCCCTCCGCCGGCTTCGCCACCATCGGCCGCAACTCCACCGTCCTAATCCACGAAGCCACCTTCCAAGACGACATGGCCGTATCCGCCATCGCCAAGAAACACTCCACCCTATCCGAAGCCCTCGAAGTCGGCCGTCTCATGAACGCCCGCGCCATCCTCCTCACGCACTTCAGCCAACGCTACCAGAAGCTCGCCCGAGTCGAAGAAGCCCCTGCCTCTCGCACAGCCAACAACAAACCCGCCGCTGAACCCAGCAACCACGTCGGCCAAGTCGGGCTCGACGTTCCGGACGACGAGCCCCCACAAAACAACAACACCCGTAACCAAATGTTCGGCGACATCAAGGTCACCAGCCGTCCTAAGATCACTGTCCCTATCGTCGCCGCCTTCGATTACATGCGTATTCGCGTCCGCGATATGCCTATCGCTCAGGCGTATGCGCCTGCCGTCGAGAAGCTGTTTGACCTCCAGGAACGCGCGGGCGAGGAGAAGGCCGAGCAGAGGAAAGAGGCTGCTAAGCAGATCGCGCAGAATAGGCAGAAGGCGAAGAAGCAGAAGCAGGAGAAACATAAGCAGATTCCTGCTGCTGCTGCTGCTGCTGCTGCTGCTGCTGCTGAGGAGATGGAGGTCGAGAAGGTAGAGGGGGCAGGTGCCAAGTCGAAGTCGATTTGGAGTGCGAGTGAGAGTGAAAGTGGGTGGAGCACGAGTGGAAGTGATAGTGAGGGAGAGCGCATCAAGAAGGAGCATTATGCTAGGAAGCGGAAGGGTAGTGCTGCTGCTGCTGGTGGTGGTAAAGATGGGCAGTAGGAGAAAGTAGAGTGTGGAAGATCCATATGGGATAATACTATCATATTAGAGTATATAACTTTCGAACATATTATCATGATGTATTATTATTCTTATTGGTGCTTGACTACGGTCAGGCATTTTGGTTTAGAAGAGAATAGATTACTACAGGTCAAAAGCAAAGCAGCCCAATACTGCATACTATGTATTATGTCTTCCAATAGACCATAGTAGTAAATATGTATATCTATCAGACCAGATTAACCAATCTCCCAATCTCATGAGGGTGGTCAAGACGAGCAAAAGAAGAGAAAAGAACTAGGTACAGAGTAAAGCAACCTCGCATACACACTCAGATAGATAATCAATTGCTGTAAGCTCTAGAACCCAGCCACCGACTTCTCCGCATCATTCTTACCATACAACCCCTCACCGAGATTCTGCAGACACTCGGACCTCCAATCCTTGGGGGTGAACTTGTCCACGATCTCCTTGAACGCTTCCAGCGTACAGAAGCTCTCGTCGCCGGGGAGATGGTTCTCGGCCTTAGCGGCGCAGCCGGGGATCCGGACAGGACGGTCGTTGTATCTGATGCGGACGTAGTGGGAGCGGAGGGATTCTTTGGACGATTCGGGGAGAGAGGACAGAGGGACACGGGCTGTTTCGGAGGGTTGGGGGGTATTAGGCGTGCTGGAGGAGGAAGAGCCAGTTAGGAAGGAGAAGAGACCCTTCTTTGAGGTTGTGTCGCCAGCTGTGGATGCCGCGCGTGCTTGATCTTGTTCGGCTTTGGAGAAGAGCTCGATGGCTACGGAGGAGGTGAAGGGGGGCCATTTCCCGTCGAAGGCGCCCGTGCTGGTGAGGATGGCGGCAAGGGTGGTGTCGTGGCAGCCGCTCATGGCGAATTTGATGGCTTTGCCGTTGGTTGGGGAGGAGCCGGAGGCAGAGGACTCGCTGCGCCAGCCGCCGTCAACGGCGGTGCTGACCATGCGGTCGACGACGTCGCCGAGGAGAGCGCCAATGCCGAGTTTGCGGTATTCGTTGCTCTCGGTGTAGCCGGTGAACCATTCGTCGACGGAGATCTGGTCGATGTAGTTTCTGAGTTTGCGGTCGTAGAATTCGGAGGGGAGCTTGGTTGCGGGGCCGTGGGCATCAGTAGCGTTGATGGTGTCGTTGATTCCGCACAGTTGAGGGTGGCCGTCTACTGCGACACGGGGGGAGCTTTCGGGCATCCACTTGGAGATGCGCTTGTTAATGTAATCCATTTCATCAGAGGTGTTCCCTGTAAGATTGTTAGATTGTTATTGGTTTGAATGCTTGGCGGCTACTATGGTATGACAGGGTGCATTGGACTGGGGCATCTGAGTAGAGGACGTACATTTGAGTGCTGCTTTGTTTGCAAAGAGTCGAGCAAGTTGCCTGAAGCGGCGGCAGTTTCCTTCATTCGGGAAGAGGGTCTCCTCCGACACAGCGCGTGCAACGATCACCGGGGGTGGAAAGTCCTGGGTGCGGGCACTGGCGGGATACATGCCCCAGAAAGCTTGCTGGAGGGACTCGAGGGCACGGGGAATGGGAGTGGCACGAAGATACATATCCTCGGTATCGGACTTGACTTTGGGCATGAAACCCAGCTGGTCGACATACAAGTGCCGCAGACGCTGGCCTAGGGCAAAGGTGGTCTCCCGTCCTTTGTCTGTCAGCTCACCGTGTTGGCTGGACTCAGTCAGCAGAACTCCCTGAAAGTTTATCGCTGAAGTCCAACTTGCCAAATGCCTTCTATATCACCAGTTGCTCCCACTGCAACCACAGACTGGTCTTTGTCGCCAAAAGCCTCCGTCTTCCTCCTCCATTCGAACCCGTTCCACGATGTGAGGTCTTTGTTGCTGGCGGCCATTTGAATCATTTGTCTGGCAACATTGCAGTACGGCCAGTCTTTGCAGAAGTAAAGAAGTCAGTGAGGGGCCGGTCAAATGTATGCGTCAAGGTGGAAGGACGAATTACAAGGAGCGAGTCCTGCCTAAACAATATTAGCCTGGAGATAAGCTGGGGGCAGGGTTGGACCGCATACATTCTGGAAACGTGAAGAGACGGGCGTTCGTTCTCCTGAAGAGCAGGTTAGATCACGAATATTGAAGCGAAATTGTGGTATGTATATCCTCCTTACCATGACGGAGAAACTGAACCATGCATTAGCCAGCGTCCTGCATGGGCAATCGGGGGGTTGATTTGCCGGCACTTACCACTTGCACCAATTGGAGTTTCAAGTCCCGAGGATAGAGCTGGTCCAGCTCCTCCTGGGAGTAAGGCTCACGGGGGACCAGAGTTGTCATTGGAAAGGCAGTCCGCAGTGAAGCGCGGGCAGGACTTGAGAGACGGCGTCAATGACAAGGGGAAAAGCAAAGAGCGAGCCTGGCAGACTAATAAATGAATGAAAGACAATGGGCGCAACGGCCGGACAGGCGGTGATGACGCCAGCAGGCGGTCTGATCGAGGGGAGCCAATCAACAGGCGGCACTGAACCCCGAGGCCCGTTTCGATGGTTTTTCGCGGGGATTTTCTCCATTCATTCCATTTGCTGTGCCTGCTTTAATTTACGAGGAAGTTCCTTTGGTGCATGCTTGTTGATCAGGGTCCTTTTGGCCTGCTTTGCTACCATTGGAGTTCATCTTTCTACTATCTCCATATCCTGAGTATAGTATTAAGTGTATGGTAGACACAATTCGTGAACAAGTATGCCCAAACTTCTCAACGAGATTGAATACAATCTACTACTCCGTAATACTGTAATCATGTCAATTTCCAGAGGTGGTCTTCTCCATCATCCTCGTAGTTTAGATAGGTGTGGTTGACAGGTTGCCATGCAAGCCGACTGCATATATTGATCGCACTTATTTCCCGATCAAGTCTCCGTAACCATACACCTCTTGAGCCCCTCTTATGGGTCAAATAAATAATGGCCCTCTGTCAATGCCGCCATTGAATTCTATTGTCAGATTCGTGGTTGCCCTCAAGATTGGCCGCCCAATGTGGGCACCGCATTGTCATGGTATCAGTTCAGTGCAAATTACCACATGTTGTAAGATTACCCTGTATTATATCCCGGAATGAAGCCATTCGCGTCGCTATCACAGCTGCAAACTTGACAGCTATCCATCTGGACTCTGTAGCATGAGTTAGAGAAGTGCCCCGGTAGTTGGTTGGGGGAATGCGGCAAGGATCATGCACCAAAGGCGGAGAGCAGCATCTCTCCGTGCCAAGCCGCACCTCCCGCGCTTATCGCATTGGACGCACCGCATCTCTTTCACTGTCCTCCACTTCCATCCACTGTGATTGGCAATCCAGGAACGCACTGTCAGGCATTGAGACTTCTGCTGAGTATAAGCCACTCCCATTGCACCATCTGTATGTGTTCTTAGCATCACATCTTCTCCAAGTTCCTGTGCAAGCCCTCCAATCCAGCCTGTTCTGCCCCGTGCCTACCCACCTATACATCCTCTTTGTGTCTGATATTCTTGTTATCGCGAGAGAGACGTATTGAGCCTCTCATCCCGTGACTCCCTTCCTCTTTCGCTTGAGTGATTATTTGCCAGCCATGCACTTCACACTCTGCTGAGCCTTCCTTATTCCCATCCGTTCCTGTGCAACAAGCCACCCTCCAGTCACTCGGCCCATATCCTGGTTGCTCCGTCGATCATCTTTCCAGGGTTCTGGTGCGAAGATTGCAAACACTGCGTTTCATACTTCACTGTCTCTCGTTTGGCTTCAATTTGCTTGAACTCAATTTCTTCAAACACGTCCCTCTCCTCGTCTCATATCATCGTGTCGTGTGAGACATTGAACTTGTGGTAAGTCTCTGCCAAGTTCTTTGGATGTAGTTGTTTCTTGCACTCGCTGAGCTGATTACTTAGGTGGAAAGCATTGCTTCTGAAATAGCACAAGGATTGAACCGAGTCTGAAGCCATGGATGTAAGGATTCTTCCAATGCCCCTCTCTCTTATCTGCAGATGAGCCTGCACCGTCTGTCGAGCTGTGGGAATCAATGAGGTGTCTTTTTGAGTGCTGTGCTGGACTGCTTGGCCCAGATTGGCTCTGCTTTATGTTGTTGCTGTTGCCTGCGTGTCAAAAGTACTCTGTGTTGTGTGAGCTATCTGCAGATGCCCTTCAACGTCCGACCGGCTCAACCAGAAATGAATTGTTTTCTGTGCTCGGATACACCCAGAGCAATCAATTCTGTTTTGTACGAGTCTATGCACGTGTCAAACACGCCCGGCGAGTCCCAGGTGTTTTTTCACGTTCTCATCACATTCGAGCTCGGGGCACGTGACCTGTATTCACGCTTTCACCTCATGTTGTTGGAGAGGACTAGATAGCTCATGGGCATTCATTTCTCTGCTGTGTTTGTTGTCTTTGCTGAAAGCTTCTCACGCGCTTGGTCATCATGGAGCTACCTCGTCGGATCGAACCTGGCTGGGGGAGCGCATCCAAACAGACGCCAAGCGAGAATACTGCAGCCCCCAAGTCTGATGCACAGCTAATGCTTGAGAATATTCTACAGGGAACTACCCAATCTATGGAGCAGTCCGCTGAGTCGGCCAATAAACCCCAGGATGCTAAGCCTCGTCTGATGCTGATGGGCCTGCGTCGGTAAGCTGTCCCTACCGTAACTGGTCCCGTACTGTATTCTAACACCACCTAGGAGCGGCAAGTCATCGATCGCTAGCGTGGTCTTCCACAAAATGCCACCCAACGAGACTCTTTTCCTGGAATCGACGACCCGGATCCAGAAGGATTCAATCCAGTGAGTACGCAGGTTCTCTACCATACATACTGCACTGACACAGGCAAACAGCTCGTTCATGGACTTTCAGGTCTGGGATTTCCCTGGTCAGCTAGAGTACCTGGAGCCATCTTTCGATCTGGAAAGCATCTTCGGAAGTTTGGGCGCGCTGGTTTGGGTCATTGACGCTCAAGACGATTACATGGAATCGGTGGCGCGTCTCAATCGCACGATCTTAACTGTTCAGCAGTACTATCCGAACATCAACATCGAAGTCTTTATTCACAAGGTCGATGGTATCACCGATGAATACCGCACCGACACTTTCCAGGATATTGTCCAGCTCATTTCGGACGAGCTCAGTGATGCGGGCTACGAAAATGCTCCGGTTCATTACTACCTGACCTCCATCTATGACTACTCCGTCTTTGAAGCCTTCAGTAAGGTCATTCAGAAACTCATTCCCAACCTGTCTACGTTGGAGAATCTGATCAACACCTTGTCCAACAATTGCGGATTTGAAAAGACCTATCTTTTCGACGTTCTCAGCAAGATCTACATTGCGTCCGACACCCGTCCGGTCGACATGTCCTGCTATGAGATGTGCTCCGACTATATTGACGTTATTGTGGACATTTCGGAGCTGTACTCCTGGGATCACCCCGACCGCAAGGCCAAGGGCGAGCAGAATCAGGAGGCAGAAAGCCACGCTGTTTTGCACGATGATACGATGATCCACCTCATGGAGATGAACAAGTATGTAACCGAGCTGCTTATCTTCTGACGATACTAACTGAAAGTAGGTATCTTTGTCTTGTTTCTGTTATCCGAAACCCCGAGTCGAAGGATAAAAAGGGCCTTATCGATATGAATTGTCGTACCTTCCAGGAAGCCCTCAATGATGTCTTCTCCCGCAGCTGGGAGCAGGATCAGGAAGAGCCCGGAGTGGTGACCGAGGAGTAAAATTCCGAATTCGTTTGCATTGGCGAGGTTGTTTTGTTTTTGTTCTGTTTCGTCGTCCCTCTTTGGGGCTTAGCAGGGAGTATTGAGGCACGGTTCGGGATGGCATGACACCTCGGATGAGCGCTCTATCTTGCGACGTCGAGAATATGTGAGGCTCTGGTAGTTTTCACGCTTTTTTGATGTGATCAAGACTGAGGCTGGTACTTTGATAGTATTATACCCGGGTTGATAGTCAATACCATAATGTGAAATTCTACCAAGTAAATATTCGATCCTCCGTAGTCCTCTGGGTGAGGCATCAAGGCATCAAATTGAACGTGAGAGACCCGCCCGGCGGAACTTTCTTCCCGCGCAACATAAATTCATCTCGAAATTCTTTTCTTCGCTTGTTTTCTGTCATCACCAGTTGTGGTTCTTGAACGCCCATTGCGACTTCAAAAATGGATTGAAGATTTCGCGACTGGCTATACCAGTACTAACCTCGAAGCATCAATACTACAGGTATCATTTTATCAGCAATCTTTATGGTAAGTTCGACAGTATTCATTGCACATGCTTCAATCAAGCTTCCCTTCCCAATCTCGATGATGAAAACTTTTCCTACATTCGCAGTTTCCACGCTAGCCGTCGCGAGAACCCATTCTAGACGTGCTCTGTGCGCAATACTTCCTTGGATGTCTGACGAGATTGAATGCCTCTTGCCTTTGCTTCTGCAGTTTTCTTGTAGTTGATCTTGGCTAACTGGATTAAAGTTATAGGTTCACTTAGACGCACATATGTTTCGATATAATCATTAGGAGGAATACTAGACAAACGCATACTTGTAGTGTGCAGGAATATGGACATGGCGCAGAAGCAGCTAGTTACTGTCCGGACACCCAGTAGCTTTATGCTTTTGTCAGGGTATTCATATATACAATGCAAGAATTATGATCTGTACAAATACCTTCCCCAAGTAAACAAAGACCGTAGCTGTACCTCTAGCCCTTAAATTTCAATAAAAGCACTATACATGTCACACCATGCGACTCCCGAAACAAGCCAACGGAGAGCGCGGAAATACTAAGGGTACTTACTTAGCCAAGCAGCAAGCTACTTACCTTTTACCTAACCATCCATCCATTCCACCTATCCCTCTTCTCCCATTACTATACCTACCTCTACTTGTTTCCCAATCCAATGGCCTACAAGTAATTTACAACCAACTATCCCACCACCATCACATACACATACAACAACATACAGCAACAACCATGTCCTCCGAACTCCGCCAACGCCAAAAACCAACCCCATCCAAACCCTCCAAAACCACCAAATCATCCTCATCCTCCTCCTCAACACCCAAAAATGGCATCTCCATCCTAGACATCATCCGTGTGCTGGCCACACTCCTAATCGCCTCATGCGGTCTCTCCTACTACATGACCTCATCCGAATCCATCCTCTGGAACTACCGACCCTGGTTCACCCGCTGGCCAGTCCTAGTCCGCTACATCGTATGTCCCTCATCCCCTCATCCCCCATTCCATACGCACATCTACTAACAACCAACAGCAAGGCCCCCTCCTCCTAACCCCCACCGAACTCTCCCTCTACAACGGCACGGACCCCACCCTGCCCATCTACCTCTCCATCAACGGCACCATCTACGACGTATCCGCGAACCCGCTCGTCTACGGCGCCGGCGGCCACTACAACTTCTTCACGGGGCGGGATGCGACGCGCGCCTTCGTGACGGGATGCTTCAAGGAAGATCTCACGCCGGATATGCGCGGCGTCGAGGAAATGTTCATCCCGATCGATGATCCCGAGGAGGAGAAGCGGTTGAGTAATGGGCAGAGGAAGGTAAGGAGAGAGCAGGATCTTAGGATCGCTAAGCAGAGGATTCACAAGGCTGTGGCGCATTGGATGGGCTTCTTTGCGAATCATAAGAAGTATTATGAGGTTGGGAAGGTTGTGGGACTCGAGGAGGTTGTGAAGAGGGAGGAGGAGGAGGGCGTTAAGAGGGAGCTTTGTACCGCTGCGAGGCAGCAGAGGATGACGAGGGAGCAGGTTGAGAAGGCGAAGGGCGGGAAATAGTAGGTTGAGTTATCTAGATAGTATATGTATGGTGTATGGTGTATGATAGTGGTTTTGGTGGGGGCAGGGAGGGGGGTATTATCGTCGCTTGGAAATTTGTTATCTAGATGATAGATGCATTATCATGTGAAGATTGAATATATCCATCTAGACATTTGATGTGGTATCGCTACAAGTGTACTGGAAGTGTTTATGGTCTTCGACTGGTTCGCTACGCACTCCTCCCAACCACGGCAACAGTCATCTACAAGGAATAATTGGAACAGATTTTGGTTGAATTTCAGCCAGTCATATTCTAACTTGACATGTCCATCAAATCGCCCAGCCCGACTTTCCGAATTTTCATTCGAGTGATATCATATCGTTGCACAAAGAAAAATGCGACGCGCGAGGAAAAATAATTTCATAGCGTCATACGTTTACTCGGCGGTGACGGCGCGGGCTATTACCAATGTCAGTATTCCATCGCACACATATACCAGACAACTCGAAAGTCGATTATGAAGGGTAGGACATACTGTAGATGTTCATCTTGGAGTGACCAACAACCTTCTTGATCTGTCCCTTCTCCTCAAGGTCAGCGAGGGCCTGGCGGGCCAAGCTGCCGTTGATCTTGAGACGGTCGACCAGAGTGGCGACAGTGATCAGACGGTAGGACTGGACATCCTTGTTGAGACGCTCAGCGGTCTGCTTCTCGAGGACGACGGCGTGCTGGGCCTTGTCCTTGACTATATTCGGAGAAAAATCGATGTCAGTAAATCATTTTCCTGTTCATTTTGTGCTCGGTTTGTGTATCGGTTCGCGATCGATCGCATTCATTCATGTATGTGCGTTGTGCGGTATCCATCCATCCATCGCTATCGTGTAACATGTATATGTGTGCTTCTTCTTTCTCTTCGTTCGATACAATAACAGGCGATCTTTGACTCTTGAACTCGATGGGGGGATAAAATGGTGATGGTGATGATGGTGGAAAACGGGGAATTATAGCGTACCCTTGCCCTTGGACCACTTCTTTCTGGTAGGAGCCTGCGAGGTAATATTAGTATTGATACATCATCCCCCTTCTGCACTGCGAGTGCTACTCGGCGTTGGTACTCACCATTTTGACTGTCTGATGTAGCTGTTCGACGGAGGAGAGCTGCACAACAGATCGAACGGTCTGAAGTTTGAGTGCCCAAGTGCGAAATTCGAGTGGGGGATGACTCAGCGTCACGTGCGGATGAACCCTAAGCCCTGGGCTGTCGGTGCCGCTCGGTTAGCATTGGCTGCTGCAATGCTGGATGTGATTGGTCGGTCGGGGTACACCTGTTTGTATGCTCGGTGGTTTAGTACCGAGTACTAAAGTATAAGGGTCTGTTAAAACATTGGTAGGACCCAAAGGCATGATTAAGATTAATTATAGTTTCCGCTATGTACACAGGTATTGTATCAGTTCGTTATAGGGCTTCCCTCATGAATATCTCCCTCGTAAAAGCATACCCGGCTTTGAAGCCATTAGGTGTAAGGTAGTATAGAGGACCAGCTGGAGATACGATCATTCAGCCGGATAGATGCGCTTTGTAGCACTTCTCGGCGCCGAACAATCATCTGCTCGTACCAGGTCCGTAGCTACTTCCTTTGACTTTACCATTAATGGTTGTGGTGACCTTGAATTGTGGCGAATTTTCGACACTCTCAAGGTGACCAAGTACAAAGTCGTCTGGGGTTCCGAACCAGAACTTCGAATCATCATCCTCATCGAAAGACAGCCATCTCACCTCGTATCGTCCGGTCTCGCTTCGCGGAACGGGGATGCGCGTAACGAACGGCTGGCTATACGGCGACCAGTACCGAACAGCAGTGTAGGCGGTATTCGCTGTTGTTATAAGTAACTGCGTCTTGGAATGGTGCCACACGACCTGTCTAACAGTATGTTCGTGGACTAGCGCCGACAACAGGACTGGTGTGCTCTCCAAATCCCATATCCAGACAATGTTTGGTCGCGTAGGATCGACGGTGCCCAGAAGAGTCCCGCTAGCGCTAAAGGCCATGATCGACACTCCCCGGGGCGCCCCGGATGGTTCGACTGGCATACCAAACGCAGAGGAGCTTGATGCTTCGGCATATTCAAGGTCTCCATCAGCTGCATAGCGTTCCCGCCAGACACTGGGGGAATTCTGCTCTATCTGAAAGACATGGGACAGTGTGATCGAACAGGAAAACTAGTTCTATTAGCTTTGTCATACATAGAGCAGCCATGAAGTAATCTTACTGTTCGGGTCTTGAGAATGTCAACAGTCCCATCGACCTTTCCAACGACCAGAAGCTCTGACACACCGCGTTGCCCGGTAACAGGGCTCCACTCTATCCCTCTAACGCCGAGGTCGAGCGAACTATCGATGCCCGAAGGGCCACTATACGTTCTGAAGAGCTGCCCATCAGCCGTGAAAATGAGGACTCTGGTGCCCGCACTCGCAGCATCCCACACGGCTATCCATCTCCCGTCTGGACTCCATTTGAGGCCCTGAGCGTCTATTGTAGGCAAAACTGCTCGGCCTATGAGCTCGTAAGATCGAAATTCGTGAATGGTCAATAGATCAACAGCATCCGGCTTCAGAAGAACAGCAAATTGCCTTGTTTTGGGCCGGTACCCGAAGCCATTGCTGTTCGAAAATTTGGGACTTTTGATGATTTGGCTTCGACCAGAGTCCAATCCGAAGACTGTAATTTTCGTATTCCAGGCATGAAAGAAAACGATCTCGTTCTCATCGCCTCCGAAGTCGACGTATGTAGCGCCAGGCTCAATGCTTTCGATTTCTGCGAGCAATTGCAACGGGTCCAATTGCCAGACCAGGATCCGTGAATCACTAGTACAGAGCACGCGTCTTCCTGGGGAAGTCACTCCTGCGTAAGAGTGCGTGCTTGAAGGTAGAACGGGCTTGGATCTGGAGAACTTCAAGAACTTTGAAGCAACTTCCTTAAGCTTGACGATCTGTACCTCTTTGAAATCAGGCGATGCCGGGTCCAAATGAATAATAAGATCTTTGCCATTCAATTGCGCGGCATAGTCGCCATCCTCGGATAGAGAGATTGTATTTGAGACTAAACGCATCATCAGTGATACAATTTGCTACCAAAACGGCTATAAACGCACCCCCTGCTCCGGTGGAGTCCATTGTTGATTTCAGCTGCAGCTAGGTTCAGTAACTGCCGTCGAGATGCAGTACAGAAATTATGGCGTGTGCATGTACTCCTGGTATCATGCGCATCCTAGACACTGTTTCTCATCACGAGCTTCCAGGGATCGAAGTCCTGGGACTGTTTTGAAGGTTTCATTATTTATCTGAACCCACTTTATTGGAAGGCGCCAAGGCTTCACATAGATTAGGTAAGCAGTACTATGAAAACACAAATTTGACAGCTGCTAATGATAGCCATGCGCATCAACAAAGTCTGCAAAGTTTGAAAGAGAGAAATATCCATTCTCAGTCTTAGCTCATGCAATATATAAGCATCTGACCTCTTGTACGACGAGAAACAGGCGCATTGAGAAGACAGCTGAGTGGCGTGTGCATGTTCTTTCCCCGGATAAGATAAGAGGATCAACATTGATCCCCTCCGAAATAAATTAATTGTCGGCAAAAAAGCGCCCGCCATCCGCATCATTTGCGACTTCCAGACTCCAGATACCCTCCGCAACTCGCTACCTTGATTGCTCCTTTCGGGGACAAGAATCTCTTAGATCGTAAAGATTCGTCTCCCTCGGTTTTCATCCCCCTGGCTGGGGCACTTCATCCCCAAGTTCCTACGCCCAAACGTGAAAATGGCGGTCCCGGAGACACAGCCCGCTCCGCAAGGAAGCGTCGCAGACCAGAATGCGCCTGTAGCTGCGGCTGCTGAACCGAGAAAGAAGCTCCTTGGAAGACAGTTCTACGAAAGTATTGGAAGCCCGAAGTACATTATCGCACCTATGGTGGACCGGTCTGAGTTTGTAGGTTCCTCTATGAACGTGATTTTTGATCACAACTAATCGTCCCGGAGGCGTGGCGCATGCTCACTAGGTCGTTCATGACACCGGAAGACCAGAAGAAGGTTCTTGCATACTCCCCCATGTACCATGCGCGCTTGTTCCGTGAGCAAGAGAATGTCCGCGTACAGCACTTCCACCCTACTCGCGCTGCCGCCGGCAAAGGCGAGGATGAGTCGCCATATCTCGACGGAAACCCTTCGTTCGATCGGCCTCTTTTCGTACAATTCTGCGCCAATAATCCTGATGATTTCTTGGAAGCCGCGCGCCATGTGGCTCCATACTGCGATGCGGTTGATCTCAATCTGGGATGTCCCCAAGGCATTGCGAAGAGGGGTCACTACGGTGCTTTCCTCCAGGAAGACTGGGATCTGATTTACAGGCTGATCAACCGACTTCACAACGAACTTTCGATCCCAGTCACTGCCAAATTCCGTATCCAGGAAACGAAAGAGAAGACGCTCGAATATGCGAAGATGATCTTGTCCGCTGGCGCGAACATAATCACGGTGCACGGACGGAGAAGAGAACAGAAAGGCCACAATACCGGACTGGCTGATTGGAGCTACATTCGCTATCTCCGCGATAACCTTCCCCCAGAGACTGTCATCTTCGCGAATGGCAACAACTTGAACTATGAGGATCTGGATCGTTGTCTAGAAGAGACTGGTGCTGATGGTGTCATGAGTGCGGAAGGCAACTTGTCCGATCCATCGATCTTCAGCAAGCCCCCTCCAGTTGGCAGTGAAGGGAGGGAATACTGGCGAGGCAGGGATGGAAAGGGTGGATATCGTATCGACGCCATGCTACGGCGGTACTTGGACATCATCTACAAGTACGTGCTTGAACAACCTGTTCCGGACAGGAAGCCGCTTTATCTTCCATCGGACGCAGTGGAAGAGGAACCTGAACAGACAACCGAAACAACCGAGGAAACCGAAGACGGCCCGCCCAAGAAGAAGCAGAAGCGCGAGAAGTCAAAGAGAGCGGCCTCTCCCAGTCTCGGTGTCATGCAGGGCCATCTCTTCCAGCTTCTCCGCCCTATGGTCTCTGTGCATACCAATGTCCGTGATGCGTTGGCAAGATCGAGACCTGGCGATATGCCAGCGTTTGAGAATGTCCTGGCTCTCGTCGAGCAGGCAATCAAGAAGGGTCTCAAGGAATACGAGCAATTCCCGGAACGCTTTGAGAAAGACCCGAACCAAGAATTGACCGGATCCAAGGCGACCATTGCCGAATACGGCAGACCTTGGTGGATCTGCCAGCCACACATTCGACCACTTCCTGAGGAGGCTGTTGAGCTGGGCGCGCTTACTGTGAAGAAGAAGAACGATGGCAACGAAAAGCCCAAGGCGGACGAGTCGTCTGAAAAGGCCACCCCTACTGCAGAGGGATCTGCCACTCCTTCGAAGACGGACGGGGCAGCTAACACGCCTGCCACGGCGACTACTCCGGACAACCTGGTGAGCGGTTGATATCATGATTCAAGATTTGGTGTTTTTGCGGAGTAATGGGACCAGCATCTTATACCCAAGTTGGGCATAGCTACTATTCATGTTAGATATAGACGCATACAGAGCACATAGTACATAGAGCTACGTTTATGAAGCTATAATTTTCAATCCGCTTGAATAGCTCCAAATTTAGCATCACTTACAGTACAAACATGGTATCAAAATCCATATAACCAAACCCATAAACTCCATCCCAACCCATATAGACCAGAAAACCCATCTAAAAATCCATAACAAGCTGCGGCGCCATCTTCTCCAAATCCTCAACCTAAACCCAAACATAGTCAGCAAACACCCACATAACCTTCCACGCATCAACTAAACACAAACACAAAGAGGGGAAAAGAAACAAACCTCCAAAAACCCATCCCCAACCGAAGCCCCCTTCCCAACAGCCTCACTCCTCTCAAACGCCGCTCTCGCCAACGCCTCCCTCACAAAAACATCCACATACTTCGCGACGACGGTATTCGCATCCTTGGCGATCTTCGTCTTTTCATTCTGGAAATGATGATGCAGTAACCTGGTCAATAACTTCGGCGGAATAACAGGGTCGTTCGTGAGCACATCATCAGATGGCTGATCCTTGTGGATGATCTCCGCGAGAATGTAGTCCGGTTCTGGCTCTGGCTCTGGGGATGATGCGTCTGAGCGGGCGGGGGATGCAGAAGAAGCGTTGTCGTCGTCGTCGTTCTCGTTGTTGCTGTCTTCTTCGGAGTCGGCGGGGCTGGGTGATGATGGTCGGGGGCGTGCGGATTTGGATGAGGGGGCTTTGGCTGGTGCTTCTTTTGGTTTTGGTCCTCGTTTGGTTGCTGCTGTTGTCGTTGATTTTGTTGTGGCTTTGCCTTTGGATTTGCTGGTAGTTGATGATGATGATGCTGGGGCAGCGGCGGAGGAGGAGGTTCGGCTTGGTGGTTTGAAGGGGAGTTGTCTGCGCTTTTGCGCGGGTTTCCGCTCGGGAGGCATGGTGTGATGGTTGTTTGTATTAAAGGTCCTTACTTTGGTGGTTAATTGATGATAAGGTGGTCTTCGTCGCGGGGATTTGATCTTCTTGCGCGGATGCGCGGGTCCGTGACGCGTGGTCAGGTGATTTGCTATCTATACAGTCTATGTGAGTTTATCATCGTTGTTAGTTCTCAGTCTTTTATTGTGAGTAAGGTAGCTGATAGAAGACTGTACTATTACCACTTGATATAAGCTGCATAGCTTGCAGGGTGGGGTTGGTTTTTTGTACCGAGCTACACTATCACTTAAGACACGATATATATGAGCGGTGGTGATTAGTCTAGTTCTATTGATGTCGGAAAGAATATCTTCACTATTCAATGAAATGCACTATCACAATTATCACTGTGAAACTAACCTTCAATCCCCCAAAACAATACCAGCCTATGCAACAGCAATGAATAAACCCGATACAGGCACTCAGTCATCAGCCGGCGTCACCACAGTAACATCAAGTCCCGACTTCTCCAATATCTCCCTTGAGCGAGCCCACTGCACACCAAACAACCCAGAGTTGAACCGACACGACCAGAGCTCAAGAAGACTACCCTCTTGGTCTTCAATGTGATCAATTTGTCTCTTCATGTCTGCAATGGCAAGCTCGGTATTCTCCAGCACTATATTTTCGGGGCTGACCATCCTTCCGAGTCCTCTTGACGTGAAAAGGCAGATTATCCAATGGCGTTTCCTGCAGTCATTCTCATGGTCTCTCTTCTGTGGTGGAATCATGAGAGCAGTCCCCTCTGGCAGTCGAGCTCTTCGTGTGCCATCGCTTGTTGTGATACTATTGTATCTGGGCTTGGAAGAGAATTGTCGGCAGTGGGATCGATAAACCTCATATGCAGCTGGGTACTATCAAATCTTAGTCAAATCCGTATAGCAGCCTGGGCGAAAGACTATGAGATGCTCACATTGCTCCGAAATACTCTTGCTATTCCCTTCCCCCAAGTACCACGGCAGTTACATGCATCTGTTTCCATTATTAGTTACATTCATATTCGGAGATAGAGAAACGAACGGATCAGCGCTGCTCCCTCTGGAGCATCGAACAGGCTACCTTGGATCTCTAAGAGACCCCCTGCGGTACTGCTTGGCTTCATACGTACTCTGCGTGTGTGTGTGTGTGTGTGTGTGTGTGTGTAAAAGGCTTGATGATATGGTCCTTTCAAGAGCAACAGGAGGACCAAGTACCAGACAAGGTTTTTAAAAAGAAGAAATAGTTGATCACGGGCGTTATTTGAATGATCAGCGGTAGTAAAGAGGCCAATAGACAAAATAAAATACAATTCAAAGAAGGTAGCTACCGTGATTACAATCGATCACCGCTGAAACTTCCGCACATGTTGCTCAGGATGGCGATAAGTGACCTGTTAAGGAAATACAACAGGCTCGTTGGATGGCGAAAGTGAATGATAATGACAAAGAGTGTAAGTACAACATGAACAAGAGAATTTTTGGGGGGTAATGGTCACGTCAATGTAGGCTACTACCGCGTATCCCTGGACTTTCCATTCCGTTCTGAACCTTGACGGTTAAGAAAATGACGGAAGCCCTTGGATTTTGTACCTGACTTCGGCTTGACATCGCTGTCCGCAGCATCACTTGCTAGTGACTCTTTGCCCGGCGATGGCGCCTGTGTGCCACCACAAGCCCAGGAAGATGTAGTTGCAACCGAAATAGGCGCGCTCTGCGAGCTGGTGGATTTCAGCCTTCGACTCATGGTTCGTGAGACGGTTTTGAATAGACCAGAGCCGTGATCTGGGGAAGAACGCTCTAAACGGGCAATTTCACCCATCATTGTCACCCCGTTGATCGCGAAGTTCTCTTCTGGAATTGGGATATATAAGATGACTCCTCGGTTTGGTGCCACATGAAGAATTTCTTGCAGAGCTGCTTGAATCAGAATGGTGCTACGAAGGTTGGTTATCGGTGCGATGAGGTATGGCAGCGCAAAGACTTTCATCAGGTAGGCTGGTAGATTCACTCTCCCAAATTGAATGCACGCGTCTTCTTGAATGGTGGTCATCATAAGTGTTTCGGATTTCTGGAAGATGCGTGCCATATGGGACGAAATGTTCGAGACAAGTGACTCCATTTCTTTGACCTGCACCCGAGGGTCAGAACTATACAATGATCATCCTCTCATTGCTGGGGATTATGAGCAAATATAGACCATCACGCACCTTGGTGTTGACCTTTATCTCTACCACCACGACCGAATCCTGGCTGATCTGGGTTCTGGGTGAGGTCAACGGACCCCTTGTGCTAAAGGCGTCTTCGAAGTACTGGCTTTTCGTTCGAGTCATCGGCTTCTCCTCAACACTCTTCCGCTCTACATGAGCAGGCTTGACATCCAGAGGTGCACTGCCAGTCAGAGCAGAAATCGGGGCCTCGTCATCATCCTTCTCTTCCAAGAACATGGATGGCCTCACAGGTGCCCTTTCTAATTCATTCTTCTGCTTGAGTGTTGCCTCAGAGACATTGACTGATGCAAATGCTTGAAACGTGACAGGTGACTGGAGAACAGGTACTGGTGGTGAGATGCTGCCGGACGACGTGTTCGACAGGTCGTTACGCCGTCTTCGCAGGGAAAAGTCAATCCTGTGGCGCCTTGCGGTCATTGCGGCGTAGATGTTTATCAATTCGGTAAAGATTGCCCGCTATTTCTTCGCTGCAGTATAAGAAGTTATGTAGGACTGACTTAGATTCCTTGCGAAGGTTGTTGAGACGCTGTTTAGACGGGGGATATGATACTTCTAAGAGGTAGTACTTCCTGCCATTACTGGCTCCCAACACGATAAATTATATCTTTGTAGATACTTAGGCAGGTACTACTAGTCACCATAATCAGTAGGACCGCCCGGTACACCCAAAAGGCAGCTACGGATCAGCCTTGCCATACACAGGTGTCCAGCGACCAGTTGCACGAGGCTCACGATAGTATAACCACATCCCAGTCATAATCGCCAGTCCACATCGGGGAACCGACCAACACGCTCAAGCCAAAAACCCGAGATAGTCAAAGGCAGAGTTTCCACTATAGAAGATCTTGTCGATTCTCCGTCTCCTGTCCCACACGATCTCTCCATCCGACCGACGTTTGATATAGAGGATCCGGTGTTGAGGAATGAATTCCTCGTCGGTTGTCTCCTTCTTCCACGCATTGAAGCCAGACTCCAAGCGTCCTTCGAATCGATCTTCATACCCAATAACGTAATTGGTACCATCAAAGGCAGGGTCCCAGATAATACGGTTGATTATGTCTGTGATCTAATTAGTATCCTTGCCAGGAAATGTGTCTTAATATATACCTCCTGCAGGACGAAGTCTATTGTCCACAGGCTCCGGCTTCTGTGAGCCAGATGTGAGAGGCTTATACTCTGTCTCAAAGGAAGTAGGCGTTGGAGTTCTTGATTGAGCATCTGGCTGGGGAGTCGAGCTACGCTCGTAGTGCTGCTCCGAGACATCGTGAACTTTCTGCTGCGTCTCGGTCGATGGTTCTGAAGCCATGATCTCAATAGCCATCACACTCTTCGGTTCTGGTACTGTTTTGGAAATGTTGGGTTGTATGTTGAGATGACTGAGGACATGTTCACAGGTTATATATTATTGCTAAAGAATAGTGCGACATAGCCAAAAGACCATCAACTGAAAGTCTACTGTGTTGCCCATACTGCCAATTCCGCCAATTCCAACAATTCGTGTAAGCATAATCAAAGTATGTTGCATGGAAGGCCTGATAGATCCACCGCGTCGCATCAGATCACGTACCATAGTGATGCCCTGGATGATCGCCGTCGTCTGAAACGGGAAAGTGAGTCGAATGGACGTGGCTTAGCGCACTCCGGGGATGGAAATATGACTCATGACCGAGTGTATACATTATGAGTGATGTTGAGTCAGACTTGGCAATTAACTATTTGACCATAGGAGGAGCTTCGAGGAGAAGCAACATCGAGTAGCATAAGGTGCAAAAAGTAAATGAAGTGTTTCCGAAGAAAGAAAATGTAATAGTAGGATGGTGTACTCGGTAATAAACAAAAAAGGAAATTTGAGCTCCGATAGGGGGAATCGAACCCCCGGCTGCCGTGTGAGAGACGGCGATGTTAGCCACTACACCATATCGGATCTTGTTGAAGAGTAGTGCTGAATTTGGTACTATAAGCCATGACTTAGAGCTTTCATCAATGAATCCATGCTAGTTGTTGGATTAACTAGGAGTGAACATGGAAACACCCAGGCTGTGAAATGGAATGAGAAGTAAGGCTGGGTTCTAAAATCGATATTCATATGTGCGGGCGGCAGAACCCCGCGTCCTCAAGGTACACAGTCTTGGCTCCAACGGAAGTCGGGTCTCCTCACGCGGCGGACCACAACCAATTGTTTTAACCCGCATTCGCGCGCAAACGCGTCTACCTAAGAAGTCCGAAACCTCCATCACCCCTCAATCCGATATCTAGATCATGAACCCTGACACGAAGATATCAGGATGAGTGACGCGACAACTTCCCTGCTCACAGAGCACTTCAGCTATACGCCCCTAGTTCGTATGGCCCTTTGGCGACGCGCTGTTGAAAACACCCCGAGCTGACTCGGCGCAGTCTCTCATAGATGACATTATCAACTCGATCAACAATTTGATCTATCAAGCCATTTCCAGTCTCGAGACGGGACTATTGGGAACGCCTCCTGAGCGCTTGGGCTTTTCGCATGCGAACAATGGCTCGACGATACCTGACACCGACGAAGACGGAAATGTTATTTACCCAGAGGCACAGCTGGAAATCGAAAATGGACTACATCAGCTAGAAACGCTGCTCGAGGCTACAGTCGACAAGACTTTCGATAAATTCGAGCTTTTCGTTTTGCGCAATACGTTCAAAGTACCGGATGATCTGATGGGATGGATTCGGCTGAAGCACTACGAGGTATGTTGACCTATCAAGCTTCCAGCTCCCCTTCTCTTCTAACCAGCCTGGCTCCTTATTAGAATCTGAACTTGGAGCCCCCATCCGATGCCCCCACTCCAGAGACGATCTCCGCTCAGCGGAAGAAGTTACACGAAACGAAAAAGTTGAATCGGGTGCTGAAACAGGAAAGCGCACGTAATGAGGCCGTCATTGCTCAGCTACGCTCCATCCTGTCGAATGCGCAGACCGCAAAACAGGAGAATGGTGTCGCACACAACGGTCAACCAAACCTGGACTTGTCTTTCTTGACTTCTAGTCCAGCTGCACAGCAGCTACGTGTCGGTGCCGCTACCGGATCAAACACACAACATACGCCGATCACCACGAACGCTACGTTCATATTGTCTCAGCTCCCTGCTCTACAAGCGCTTCTCAAGGAACTCCGGCCGAAATTGGCGACTCTACCACAATCTGGAGATAAGATGGATGCGGAACCCAAAGCCGATGCGAGACGCGAGTACATCGAGAGCAGAGTTAGACTGCACCTCGAAAGGGCTGGTCAGCTGGCGGTTGGTAGTGATAGCACTACTGTCTTTGCCGGCCGTAAGATTGATATTGCAGAGGCACAGGCTCTTGAGGCTGTTACGGGAATGCTTACGCAAGGAGACAAGAAATCAGCTTAAAGGGCGTGAACCGAGAACACTGGGATGGTTCTTTGTTCCAAATCCATCAAGGAGATCTATTTTCACTCAGTCGACCGAACTCATGCAGACCACGACACGCTCCATGTCTGCTGGTCCCGTCTGAAGGGAACAACATCCACCTTGTCCGACTTCAAGATGTTCGGGATCTTCTCATCCTTCCTATCGATGACGATGAACTCCTTCTGCTCTTCGCCAATGCCATAGAAATTGCGACCAAACTTGCTCATGAAACCCTCAATGATCTCGGGGGTGATGTCTTCCTCCTTCAGGACGCCATTCTGGCAAGCTTGCTCGAACGCGTCGATGACAAGCTGGGTGGTGTGGGGCTGAGTGAACACACCGGCTGCGATCTTATCGCCTCCTCTCTTGGACACGGCCGGGTGAGGTGCGCTGTCGGATCCGAAGAAGAACTTGGGGTTACCGGAGGCTGCTGCGCGCAAAAGGGCATCACGATCCGCGGGCGTCTTGGCGACCGGCTTGCAGAAGCAGAACGGATCTCCAGCCCAGGAGTCGATGATGATCGACAGGTGATGGGCCGTGACTAGAGCAGCTGTTAGTGCACGTTTATTCAGCTACGGAGAAAGCCGGAGAAAGTCCTCACTTGTTCCGGCAACAGTAGGGCCACACTTCTTGACAGCCTCAACCGCAGCAGCGGTGGTGCAGTGCTCGAGAATGATCCTCAGCTTGGGGAAACGCTCGTGCAGCTGGAGCAAGGTTGGAAGGAAGCGCTCCTCTGCCGTCAGAACGGTCACATCACCCTTGGACGGGACTTCGCCGTGCAGGTTGAGGATCATATCCTGACGCTCCATCTCAGCGAAGACGGGGTAGAACTGAGTGTAGTCGATGACACCCGAGGAGGAGTTAGTAGTGACACCGGCCGGGTAACTCTTGACGCCAGTGATGCCGCGCTTCTTGGCATCGATGATGGTCTCCGGGGTGATAGTCTCATGGAGATACAGGGACATGAGATAGTTCACATTGGGCTCAATGGCCTGCAGACGCTGCTTGTACTCAAGCGCGCGGTCAACGGTGGTCACGGGAGGGACCAAGTTCGGCTGGTGAAAGACATCCAAGTTACTATATTGTCCCAATTGCAATGCAGCAGTTCCACCAACCACATATAAATATGGTCAGAAGTTCAAAGCGGTATAGAGTGATGAATTTACCATAACAAAAACGGTGTTGACACCACCCTGTCTAATAGTAGGAGTAACAAGCTCCATCATATCACCATCGCGAAGATGCACTTAACTCCACCAATCCCCATTAGCCAAATTGAAACCTCCTAAGCGCAATCCACCCCCTCAACACCGGATACAATTGGCAGCCATTCAGAAAAAAAAGTACGCACCATGAAAGTCCGCGGAAGCGGGGAGCTTCACGCCCTGCAGCTTGGAGAGAGGCATTCTTTTTCCCGAACAATAGTAGAACTTTGAGTACCGAGGTATAACCAAATTAGGTCTGAAGATTCGAGGAAACAGCATGAACCAAATACTGATTCCAATCAAGGAAGTATAATAGTCAATAACTGGGGGAAATCAAATACGTACAAGAAATTCCCATGGGCCGGTTTTTCCCCGCCAATTTTTTGTCGCGGGGGAATTTGGGATCCATGACCGCCTTGCTTGTGATTGGTTGGTGTGGGGTGTGGGCATGTGATGTCACGGGGGTGTCCGCGGTAGTTGACATCCTGGCTCTTAGTTACTTGGTTCGCTACTAGTACTCCTGAGTAAATAGGGAGCCTTCTACATCGCGTCTCTCCGAAAGGGTCGGGATGTGGGGGGTATCTTACAAGGATACAGGCGGCTTTCAAGATTATTGTGTGCTATGGACTAACAAACAGCCCTTACACTCATTGAGACTCGGTGTTCTTATGACTGAGAGCTAATACTCCATAGCCTACCGTCAAATGAGTACGGCTTTGATCACTACGGGGAAATTTTCCACACTCTAAATTACATTGAATTATTCTGCTTACCTATTAGTCCTACGGTTAAATCGTCTACTTGCAACCAATGGCCAAAGCTTCGGTTTTGTGAAAATCACGCATAAGTCGTATTCAAACGAGTGCTATCATTTTTAACTTGGAAGCTTTATCACGAAACACAAAGTGCCTTCAATCTCTCGAGTCTCACCGCATCATTCTGTCACCACCTGTGGCATCTGTACCAGGGCTCTCTTAGAATTGGCCTCCGGTAGGTTGGGTACCACTGGGCTGACCACCACTAGGCTGGCTGCCACCAGACTGACCGCCACCGGGAGTGGAAGAGTCGTCATCAACAGCAACGCCACCACTGGAGGTGTAGACGAAGCTGTAGTTAGGGTCATAGGTGGCAGACACATTGACAGCAACGGTCACCCATCCGAAGAGGCCATCGTCCAAGCTGTCTCCAAGGTAGACGTAGTTCAAGACAGGGTCAGAGTCGGAGTTTTCAGTCTCGTCGGAGAAGACACGATCCTCTGCGTTGGTGGTGAGCGTGACGGTGTTGGTGTTGTAAGGGTAAGTAGCCTCCACGTCGTTGATGAGATCCTGATCCCAAAAAAGCTGACCAATATGCGCAACAGTGCCACCAGTAATGGTGTTGTTGTCAAGCACAGTCACATCCAGGTGGGCAACCATGTGATGATGGGTGGTACGGCCGGAGTAGTGGCCCGGGAAGAGAGACTCGAAGGTGACAACACCGTCAGAGTCAGTCTTCTGGATACCACGGAGGAAGGTGGTGTTCAGGTTGGAAGTGTCATCGGTGTTTCCGTTGCCGTTGGCGACAAGGCCGGAGTAGACACCGGTGGCATTGCAGTTCCAGATATCCCAGTACAGGTCGGTGATTGGCTCGCAGGTCTCAACGTTGATGAACTGGCCTTCAATCACCACGGGGACACCTGACTGGTCTTCGCGGACGTCCGACCGAATGTACTCGCCAGGGACATAGTAGGGACCAGTCTCACCCTCTGGGTTCAGAATGCAGGTACTGGTATTGGCAAAGACCTCGCTGGCGGAGGAGTCGGGTGTGATATCAGAACCGGTCACAAGATGGGACTTGTTGAGGACCGAGTCAGTATCTCGCCCAGCAAGGCGCCTCCGGTGGAGGTCCACCAAGGCCCTACGGCGAGCCTCGGCACGAGCATTAAGACCACTGCGCTCGAACTTGGAAGCACAATTCTCCAAGCCACGACGCATGTTGGCTTTGAAATCCAGGAGGTCAGAGTTGGCGCGCTTCTCTTGGTGGCCGGGATGGGCAGTGGCAAGAACTGCACATCCTACCGCGGCCAACTTGACAACGCTCTGGACATGCATTTTGAGGGGGCTTAAAGATGAAGTTCAAAAGATTTGGACAAGGAACAGGCGATATTCGCAGGGGGTGGAAGCTAGAGAGGCCTTGAAGAGACTGCTTTCTGCTGGATGTCTCCCTCAGATGCCTCCCGGATGAAGAGCCTTTATAGCTGCTCCCTCCATAATGAGCGTCGATATCAAAGTGCGCGTTGCCGATGTACTGTGCAGTCTATACCAATCTGGGCGCGGACGATTTTGCCATTGCGCGGAGTCTGTTCCCTTGCCGAAGCGATACCAACCTCCAAAGACAAGTAACTGTCGTCAGCAGTGGGTAGAATCAGTGACGAGCGTGTACTGATCCCTGCTTGCTCTATCCAATGTTGCCGGCCAAAAATGAGCGAAAGCGTGCTCAAGTGATGAATCTACTTGCCAGGAAGGAAGATGACGAATCCCTCCCACCGGCCAAGACCATCGGCCGCGGGGACGCTGCGATGAAGCTCGCCCGCCAAGACCGCCTAATGATGTCCCTCAAAAGACCAACACCCCAGACGCCGCGTGTCATTACTATCTAGAAGCCACTGATTGGCTTGGCTTTGAGGAAAATTGCGATGATCTGCACATCAGGGCTTAATATTCATCCGGTATCAATCAGCGCAAATGTGATTCGCGACAAGTTGGTGGCTTTAGCTCGTGGTCCTGGCGCAGGCGTGCTGAGTACTTACGGAGCAATACCCGTAGGCTTGGCGAAGCCAAGGCCTGTTTACAGCCCTAGGTCCAGACTGGCTGTGAGTCGCGCTGTCTGGCAGGAATTTCGGGCCCCGAGGACCCCATGATCCCGCTGCAATTATCCCGCTGCCGACTCTCACAGAAGTGTGCGTGTTTCAATTATATGGTGGCTTGTGGGGACCCCAGATGACTTTTCCACGGAGACCGGAAGTTTACTTTGAAATCGCTTGTTCTCGGATGATCGGCTTCACTTCGCCGTAGGCTGAAAACTAAGAGGAGACATGTGCTGGCTGAATATGCCGAAGGGAAGATTGCAGTGCTGATCGCTCGCCTAGCCAAGAGCTGCGCAATCAAGCTCCGCCTTGGAACAGTCGTAGACGTTATTGTAGGGGGTGGGACATGAAGTCTACGACCCATTCATAGTCTGTATACAGGTCCCGTGCCACTGCTTCATCGCGCTGCTTTTGGGTGTTGATCGACACCTGTATAACGAATACACGTCTCTGAGGTGGATAGCATCTGCCTCACTTGATCCCTATCATTGGGGTTGCTCACTAGTGATGGGAAATTTGCAAGCTGCATACCCAAGAAAGCTGGACAAACAGACGGTGCGGAGAATGTCCCATTAAGGCAATTCTCAGAGCGGAGTCTAGATCTCCAACAGACCAACAGGGCCAACAGAATGTGGAGAACTTGCAGAGAAATCTCCGCGCATGAGCAAACGATGTTATTGAGCCTGATGTGTGGTCGAGTCTGGGGATTGAGTTGCGTGCACTCTGAGAGATCGAGGCATAGCAGTATCCCAGCAAGGCATGCGCTTCCAGAGAGAATACATTGCCCCAACGGACCTCTGGCATTGGTGGAATCATCAAAGCCACAGGATGCAGTGACGGCAACCGATACATGTGAAAGCTGCAGTCCTTTGGCCTGGATTAATTTCATGTTCAACCCTCCCATACTAGAAGGGGCGCAGGCCCCAACTTTCAATTCATCCTCGAGGATGGAACGAGTGGTGCAGGAATGTACCATCGATAGGACCGGGCAGCTATCATGCCCATCAGCCGATGTCTCCTTTTGATCCATGATGTTCGACACAAACGCAAATGAGTGGCGTTTCAAGCCGGGCTTATTCACACCAATAGAACAGGAAGCAATGGACGTGTTACACAGAAGCCGAGTGCCTTTGTCCAAGTCCAAGTCCTCCATTCGCGCTGCTCGATGCACCGACCTCTTCTAAGCGCCGAAGGAGACAAGGCTGCATCAAGTCAGTTTGAAGGATTTCTGCGTCTTCGCGCTCATGCAGGAGACAGCAAATAGGCGCGGCGCATTTCCCGTGGGCGGCTATTAGGCTTTTATGGCTGAAGGGCTCTCGTGAAGATGTTTCACCTATTCGCGCTTTGTGTGAGACCATTCTTATTTTTGGCAGCTGAAGAATGCTGCAGAAGTTAGGATGGGCTATTCATTGCTTGCATAAGTAGTTGATGTCTGCGGGTTTTCTTGTCAGGGTCTTTTCTATCTTGTCTGTACACTACCTTCCTTACCGTCTATAGCTTCACTTCGTTCCACTCCTTCTCCCATAGATACCCTTCTCTCTTTCAATTCAACATCTCAATCAGCCTTCTGGCAAGGCTCTTTCTTCTCTACACTTTTCTGTTCCCCATCACTGGCCCACCTCATCAAAAACAAACGCAAAAGAAAAACATACACCATGGACCGCAGCCTCTCCACCGAATCCACCATAACCACCACCATAACCTCAACCGCCTCCATCGAAGAAGAATCCAAATTCCTCACCCGCACCCAACACCTCCGACACACGCGCCTAGCCCTCGCCATCCTCACCTTCCTAACCACCATCCCAACAATCGCCTGCGAAGCCATCGCCCTCCACCACTACCGCCAAACCTCCCCCTACGCACGAGTCTGGCTCAACCTCTGGCCCTTGAACCTAGATCTCAGACCCACCATCGCCATACTCGCCTGCGGCTGCGTGATAGCATTCCAGAACTTGCTTTACATTGTTACTGCCGTTGTTCCTTCTGTGAGGGCCCCTCACACACAAACATACTTTCCAAACTGATACTGATAAATAAACAGCCCCGCCCCCACATCCGCCTCCTCAACCTCCTCGCCGCAGCAACCGCCCTATCAGGCTTCATCGCCGCGCTCGTGGGCCTCGTGTTCGTCATTTACCAGCCTGGAGCTAAGCATCCGAGCGGGTTTAGTGAGATGGAGACGCTGCATTCGTGGACGTGTAAGTGGGGGGTTGTGAGGGATGGATATGATTCTGTGAGTAGTGGTAGTAGTGGGAATGGCACTGTTAGTGCTAGTACGAGCGGTAGTTATAATGCCACGGTGGGGGGTGATGTTACAGCGCCGGTGCATTTTAAGCGGGATTGCGATGCCACTGAGGCCGGGTTCGTCTTGCTTTGTGTGTTGCTGGGGTTGGAGGTTGTTATGGGGGTGGTTGTTGGTGTAGGGTTCTGGGTTGAGAGGAAGGTTGGGGGGTTGAGGGGGAAGATGGATGGGGGGTTGGAGGGTATGGGACGTGGAGTTGGGGCAGGGGGAGGGGTGAAGGGGGAGAGTAAGGTTTCTGTGGGGGGTGTGGAGAAGTATCCTGGGACTTGAGGTGAGGTGAGGTGAGCTGATGGGTGGGTTGGAGTGGTTGAAGGGGGTGTGATGTTGGTGTTGGTGGATGTGTTGTGGGAGTAATAGGTAAATTGATATAGTCATGATAGGGTATGCACTAGATCCCGGAATGTAATGTAAAGCTGGGGCGTTACAGCTTCGCTTCTCCCTTCCCTTTGCTACTGTCCATCCTCACTCCCTCATCGTCCTGCTCTGCGACTTCTAGCACGGGCATCTCTTTCGGCATCATGCGTCTTGGATTGCTTCCTGGGATGACGGAGTACTTGGAGAAGTCTGTCACCCCGCAGTAATCACGCAGGAAATCCTCATCGAGGGCTAGAAGTCCGTTCACGATGTGTGCTGGGGTGTTTAAGATCCCGAGGATTGCGTCGGAGAAGATTGTCTGCCATTTGTTAGTATGTATCACAAGGAAACGTGTATGTTGATGGGAACCTACCGGCTTCCTCAAATCAGCCTTTCGCGAATCGTCATTATTCGCAGGATTCATCTCCGTTGCTGCGCTTTCAACAGCCTATTCACATAACCGTTAGCCAGCCACAGCTCAAAGCACGATAGTCAACATACCGCAGCAGGCCAAATACTAGTAATAGCCATATCCGACTTGCCCTCTCTCACCCAATCCATAGCCAAGCCACGAGTAAGCACACTCATCCCGACCTTGCCTGTGTGTTGTCAGCACTACCCAGGACCCTATTCTCTAACCCAAAGACTCACCCATAGCATAAGCCGTCTTTCCCCTGAAAAACCTCGAATAAATCGGCGGCGAAACAACCACAATCCTCCCCTTCCACCCATTCTTCTCAAACACCGGCAACGCCGCCATGATAGTCGCATACAGCCCCTCCGGATTGACCCGCTGCATCAGCTGGAACCTCTTGAGAGGCGTATTGGCAACAGACGACCACCATATCGCACCCGAATTGTAAACCAGAACATCCAGCCGACCACCACTGATACGTACAGTCTCGTTCACCAGGTTATCGATCTGGGTGGGGTCGCGCACGTCGACTTGGACGGGGTGGGCGGTGCCGCCAGCGAGGGTGATTTCGCGGGCGACGGTGTGGATGGTGGAGGCGGGTGAGTTAGGGTCTGGTGGGAAGGGTGCTGTGGGATCTGGCGAGGTGGCTGACTTGGCGGCTATGATTACTGTACGAAGTGTTCTTTGTTAGCGATGATACATGATTAGAATGTGTCTGGCATACCGGTGTATCCGTTCTTCGCAAGGTCGATAGCAATCTGGCGGCCAATGCCTCGAGAGGCGCCCACTACTAGGGCGACGGGGTTGGGAGACCGAGTAGTCATGATGGCAGTCATGATGGCAGTCAATTGAATAAACCAAGCTTTGTGTATTAAAAATAGCTAGATATTATTCAAAGGCACCTCGAGACGCCGTGGGTTGATATAGAAGTCCAGGTTCGGTCATCCTCGGTAGAAGGAGTGATTAGTAGTCATTTGGCCGAGCGCGCGGCTCGGCCCGTTGACAGAGGGTTTAGTATGGAGATGAGGGGTTCATGGGACAGCTTTATGTCCTGCCATTTAGTGGAGGCATGAGTGATCCTGACACAATGTGTAAGTAAGTTTTGTTGTTGAATTGCTGGATGGTGTTGCAGAAGGGCTTCCACTGGTTCTCCTTATCGCAGCAACCTCGGCGTTATCACTGCATCTCCATCGCCGCATCTTGGCTCCGATTGGCTATATTAATTACATAATCATTTATCGTATCCTCCACCGCCCTGGCAGAATCTCGCGTCTTTCGCAGCAATTCACTTTTCACTTCAGCAATAGACATATACATCACAGCTATCTATCAAAATGCCACCAGACATGGTTTCTCCCGCCGCCGATCTTGATCTGGATGACGAGCAGTATGACTCCGCCGAAGACGAGGATTTCCAGCTCGACGCAGCCCAAGATGATGCGGACTCGGGCATGTCCGATTCCGACGAAGAGGAGGCTGTCGACGAGACAGCGCCCAAGCGACGGAAGAAGGATACTAAGGATGCTCAGACAGCAGCCGATGATGACGAACTGGCGTCTGGGGATGAGGCGATGATTCAGAAGGCAAAGAATAAGAAGAGGAAGAAGGGAGATGAGGACGTGGATCTTGATGAGGACGAGGAAGGGGGAACAGGAGGTTTCGTGCGGACGCGCGCGATGAAGATGCGAATGTACGTGGTGTCTATTTGTCTGACAGTCTACTAGATCTGGGATTATACTGACACGATACTGCTACAGTGGAGAAGAGCGCAAACCGCTCGCGAAGATCGACGGCGCTACGGTTGATGTGGATGCGTTATGGGCGAAGATGAACGCTCCAGACTCGGGAGTAGATGGTTCTTCGGCACAGGATGAGAGCAAAGATGCTACGCCTGCGGCTGGACAGAACGACGGAGAAGCGGCAGGTGGTGACGATGCGACTCCCTCCGCACAGGAACCCCAGACGAACTATACCGAAGAAATGGTGAAGATCAAGCGCACATACAAGTTCGCCGGAGAGATGATTACGGAAGAGAAGATTGTGCCGAAGGATTCAGCGGAGGCTAAGCTATTCCTGGCCGGGGAGAAGGACGCGGAGACCGTAACTGCTGCAGATGTCGACCACGCCGCGAACGCCAAAGACGCCCTCAAACTGCGCAGACCCCTTCGTCGACCCTCCCGCTTCGATCCGAATCCGACCGGCACGATCAAGAAGAGCTGGGAGAAACAGCCCGTTACGGAGGCGACGGCAGGGCAGGAGAACGCCCGGGGACCGAAGATCAACACGGTCGAGAAATCGCGTCTGGACTGGGCTGCGTATGTGGATCAAGCTGGAATCAAGGACGAGCTCAACGTGCACAGCAAAGCGAAGGAGGGTTTCCTGGGTCGCATGGATTTCTTGGACCGTGTGGGGGCCAAGATAGACGAGGAGAGAAGAAATGCTCGTCTGAAGGGGCTTTGAACGATTCCGGTTTCAGTTTCCTCTTTTCTTTTGGCACCGGCCAACTCTTTGTCCGATCCCTCCCATGCAGGTGCGGAGCAGTGCCAGAATCTTCAGCATTGGATCCACTGTTCCAGGCTACGACTTTATCAAATGGGCACGTATCACAGTCTGCATGTCTGGCTGGCTATATGCCGCAATCCGCACGGAAAACCGATGCGGTGTATATTAGCTATCATCCATAGCTGGAGGTAGTGCCAGACACGTGCTTCCGGCTCGATCCACCGGGCTCAACTCATCTCCGCACTACGCGGTTCGCTTACGCGGATGGATGCTGCTGGTTGGACGGGCTTATATTGCCTATGCATCGCACTAGCATGACTGGCGTAAGTGCCAGCCAGGGCGATGTTATGACTTATGACATGTGAATTGGAGATGTACGATATTGTTAGGATGGTAACCTTTCTTGATCCAAAAGAATGACATTGGTTGCACACGCTGTAAGCTAGCTACATAGTACTTTGTAATGAACTTCTGTATCTAATAAAAGGATTCAGGGAGAAAATGAAACAGCTCAGAAAACCTCCCTACAGTGGAGCATCGAATATACCATTCGAAGCTCTTCAAACAGATACTCTGCTAAACCCTCCGAATCCAAGTAGTTTCCTGCGTACTCAGCTGTTTTCGAGGAGAATGTATGATTTTAACAATCCCCAATAATCCGAGTATCTACGGTATCAGTAAGTGGGATTTTGTCAGCACCATGCAAGCATTCTGGGAATTCGTCCCACTACGCAGAATCCCCTACTTGTACTTCTACCAGCCCCGGTTAGCGCGGCACTGATGTACTCTTCTTCTCCGGGGAAGTAAGTCCACACCATGGCTTTTTCTTTCTAGAATAAGACCTGGTCGCGCAGACATTTCAGCATGAGTTGCAACAGTAGTGAGGCTTTCACCTCGATCTGGTATGCCCCATGCCTATTTGCTTCTCATGGATGTGACTATGGCATTTCAAGCATGTTTTTACAACAGTCTAGAGCTCGATAGTCGTATCATCAGCACCGCTGGATAACTACACCAGCATCCTTCTTGTCCATACAGCTTTCTGTATAGAACTGAACTTTTCATAAGTCATTTTGTCACATATCAACTCTTGACTTCGCTCAATGCTCGGATAAATGCTGCAGTTAGCTGCAAATGTAACCTGTCTTAACGGCTCTAGAAACGTGTATAGCTGGTTGCAGTGGGTACGGCCATGAAGGAGGCAGACTATGTTCTGAGTGAGGAGATGCTGGAATATGCCGTGCACAGGTTGTCAGTCAAAGTCCCGAAAATATTTTTGATGATAATTTTAGTAATGGGATCGATATCTAGGCTTAGAAGAAGCTGTTCCTTCTTGATCTGTAGATGCCTTTCTAATGAAACATGGACATATGGACTAGTATGACTCTGTCCAAGGCTAGATTGAAATGTGCAGATACCTGCCATATATTCGTTTCTTTTCCAGAATCGTCATCTTCGTAGCTTGATTCAGCCTGCAAACACCAATCAGGGTTAGTCCCATCAATCTGAGGGGTTTCCTCTTGCCGTCGCAGAGGTATTGATGACTTAAGGATATCTTAGATCAGCCTGCAATGGACAGGTGCTCCACGTGAGGTTAAGCTTCATCACAGCATTTCCATAGTATCTCAACAACGAGCATATTTTATAAGAGTAGTGATGGATTCCATCTTTCCGCAATGCGATAGGAAAAAGAATGTATGCTTTACCATCCCAAGTTCCTTTATTAGTTGGTTTTGTCCATGTCTTTTCATAACTCTCTCCAGGCCAACCCCCAGAAAGTGTGCATTGTCATTAGCTGCGAGAAAGAGCACATAGCCCAGATCACCTCTTTGTCATTCTCTTCAGTAACTATCACCAAGTTCGTTGCTGATAGGACATTATCCCTTCAATTTTTGCCAATTCCATGGGGTGAAAGGAAAGAAGAGAATTTTGATCCCGTGTTTGTACCTGCAGCGCTACTTTGCTCATTATAGCGATGATTGACCATTCGGAAACCGCATGGTCTCTGTATGTGGACATAACTGACGGTTAGCTTTCCCACCTGAGTATATTAAAGATGATGCCTAGTTGCTATATCGCGCTGAAAATGAACAAGTTCCAAAAGCTGTCGGGAGGCGGCGGCAGCGGCAGCGCTTTGGTTCAGCAATGTTATCACCAGCTCTCATTTGACAAGTACAGCCAGTCAGAACAAGCAAAGAAGAAGATGTACCAGTTAGACAATCACAGCGACAATAGGAAATTGTGAGAGGATGACCAGCTTCTCTGGTGCCTTGGTAAGTATCTTTCTCAAATCCCGAGACTGCTAATAAGTATCTGAAGATATTGCCAGCGTGTCGAACCTTCCAGCAATATATTAATATCATTAGCCCACTGGCTGTCTTCTAGAGGAGGGATGATTCATTCATCCCCATACATGGCGCAGTTGTGGTAATCTTCTCAAAAGCAATATTATTCTGCTTTGTATATCAGATAAGACCAGGAAATGCAGCACAGACACGAACTGCACGAGTCATACTCGCGAGTTTGGCTTTTAATACCGCTTTATTTCTGACTTCCAAGGTATTCTTCTTGAACAGCTGTATGCGCTCCTTCCAGAGCTCTCCCAGTAACCAGTAACCTGGCTCTTCAAACGGGCTGTTGACGCCCTTCATATGCTTCAACAGGAGTTTTAGGCATGGTTGCCCGAATCACTTTCGCGGTGCACTTGAGGAAGTTGGTTGCTTGGAAGAAGTCACTGAGCCTGTCCAAAGTCAAATCAAGAATGTCACCTAAGGTTCTTTAGAAGCCATCTTAAACTGCTTCCCGAGCTCTCCAAGGTACTCATGGTGTAGGTATACTGTGGCCGGGTTAATAGTCCACTCCAGTATCTCTGTGAGCTCCATAAATGATTGAATATTATAAGGAGAGAAGGGGCAGGGACTAGCAGAAAGAAACCAATGTACGGGTTATAGCATGCCTTCAACTTGTCGAGAATACAGACGATGGGGCTGCTGTCACTAAAGGAAAGGTAGCACTCGTCGCAGAATGTCCGCGCGATGGGCATAATAAGGATGGTGATTCTCTGTAGCTGACCTTTCAGCCTAGTCTTGGACAAAGTATGCCGCAGATAGACCTCATAATTTCTAAATATCAGTGGGCTGGTGAGCATGATCAGCAGCTCCAGCTACAGGTCACGCGTAATCATCTCCCACTCCTTCTTGTCAGCTGGAGTGATTTTGCCAGACCGCAGGCAATACTTATCTCGAGCCAGGTCTTTAAACGATATTCGGGCAGGGTAAAGGCTTCATGATGGTTTCCATCCTTCCACTTGTCAAAATTCAGAATATTCGTATTCTTGAACATAGACCTGTGACACATGACAAATCCCATTTCTTTAATCAGAGCATAAATGGGATCCACGAACTTTTCCCATTTACTTACCAAATTACCAAGGAGTGCCTTATCAACAAAGATATAGGTCGCGCCTGGCTGGAGTTGGGTAAGCATGTGGTTGGGAGCGGTGAGGCGACAAATCTACCCCCTTGATGAGTGGTCATCTCTTTGTAGAGTAACCGAATAGCCCGTACAATTGGTACAGGTAGAGAGCTCAGTCTTTGTAGATTCCTGCAATGGGGATTTTGCGCTGCGGGTCCTGCCTCCCCTTTGGGGATTTGGTATGTATACCGGGCGACTTCCCACACTTCCTGATCAAAATTATCGCATGAAAGGCCATCATTGAAGTAGTTTATGCTATCTGATGATTAGCCAGAGGCATATAGATAAACCAGGTAGTTGACAGGTATACCTGCTCCGAGAGTTTGGTCCACCCCCATCGTTCAGTGATACTTTCGTCTGGTGATTCTCCCTGGTTCGGCTGTAAAAGGCTTTTACAGCTGTCTTGCCCGACAGAGCCGGGCGAACGTAGGACAGGCACAATCGCCTCAATATTGATGAAACCGAGCCAAGATGATCCGAGTATAAGTTTTCGCAGGCGTCCCATGTGCCAATGGGCGCGCTTCGGCTTCTCCTTGTCGATATAAAGTAATCTTCGACTCAGCATTATGCAACACGGGGCCCTAAACATTATGTATTCAATTCCATTGGAAAAACCAACCCGATTTAGGAATCAGATTTCTATGCTTTTTCTCGTGCTGGGGCAGGGGAGCTTTTGTTAATAAGGACTTGATATCTTCAAGGTATGTGAACCTAACGACCTTTGCCAGTCTGAGCGGTTTTTCTTCTTCGAGGCGAAGCAAAACATATGGCGAGACGTATTTGTATGACACAAACTGGTTGACATCTGCTAATTTAGTCGACCCTAGAGGGCCATGATCTCTGTCTTGCAGTCATTGAAGCCTCGATATGTTGGGGCAGTATAAGTTTGTCATAGCAAGTGTCACTGAATCGGGCAGAGTGTACGTCAAGGACATGCCTAGGTAGTATCTTCCTTGACTAGTAAATACTAGTAACAAGAATATCATATCCAGCCGCAGATTCCTTTTTTTGTCCGCTGCGTATCCCGCCACGACAAGCGTTCTTCGAAGCGGACCCGAATACTTCAACCCTAAAGAAAGCTGGTGAGGGTCCCGTGGCGAACCAGACAAGGTCGTTCTATACACATATAGTCAGCACGAGGTGATTTATTGGGAGAGAAAATACTTACGCAACGCTTCTGTCACCAATGTGTACTTTCCCACGAACTGGTCTGTGTTGCTTTGACCAGCTATGCTTTTGTGACCAGTCATCTACCGCCTCAGCCATAAGTATGCAGTTTCCAGGTGGGTAGAGTGTTGATATTAACGAACAGTGATGGCTTTTTGCCCTAAAAGAAGGATATATATATCGGTGTAATCAAGACGATGATAACATCAGCCTCCGAACCCTGGGACGCATCCACGGTTTGAATCCTAGGGCGGGGCCGAAGCTCAGAGAACCTCTGATCCCAAAGCCGGTTCACCAGGGCGACTTGGGCTCTGTAGAGGGACATAATAAGAATACTCCCGGTACGTCTGTTCAGAAGCTGTTGGGCCAGGCAGATCTCAAGCTCGGCTTCCTGCTCGTGGTACAGGAATCCCAAGGGATCCTTGCGCGTATCCCCTTCACTATGGGGGAGATGGAGGAAATGGGAGAGTCCGCACAGAGTCCATGTCTTATTCCCCAAGCGGACTGTCAACGGATTCGCCGAGGTGGTTTGCATGTCTCTACTCGGCTGACTCCGGAAGGTATCAACCTTGCCCTCGTAGTAGGCCACCGAGGTCGCAGATGTTCAAGGGCCTGCGGTTTCCTAGAGGTTAAGGACATTAATCCGATACCTCCCGCGAGCTAGGATTAACAAACGAGAAGTTTCTCCCTGGCAAAGAGAACTCATAGGCGTCACGTCATGGCATGTAAATTGTCGCAGAGGGCCACAGAATTGAACTGGCGAAAAAAAAGGGTTGATTCAAAATCCAGCAAAGAACCCATTATACAAGCCTTAGGATTAGTCGATAAGCCAGCAAAGAGCAGACGGCAGATATCGCAAAACACACCGTCTCTAGTAGAATCCCTTGTTTCTCATAAATCTGAACATCCGTTCCATATACACTGTGAGCCGGGGTCCCAATAATAAAGCTTTATGTGGCACTATTTGGCTGAGATTGGTGCTTTGTACTAAGTATATGAGCTGGTTAGTATTGCTCCAATAAATAACCCCTTAGGCTCTGAAACAGTTACCACGCACCCCAGCCAGTGGAAAGCTTGCAGCTAGCTGTAATAAATTCAATGATGATGCTAAACTGGGCCTTAGGCAAGCCACGCCAAGGGCTTTCAATGGTATACTTCATCGCAAGCTAGACCATATCGCTCCGAACAAACCATCAGTTCTGTGTGTGACCGAGTGCGCAACGCAGGAGAGGCTGTTACGTATCTTGATATAGGGTAGATACGTTCTTGTAGCTTTATATCGTCCCATTTAGTCTGAGGTATAGTACCATTTACGATTTATTCTTCGTCCCAGCTATCTGTTCCTTCATGCGTTCGATGAGTGCACATCATTTGGTCAATGGCGGTAAAGCTCTCGGATCAGCTCATCACATCCCACTTGCCTTTGTCCTTTTCGTGCCTCCGTGCAGGTACGCTTTCCTTCGGGATGACAGGTGAAGGCAGACTATGCGGCCGGTATAATGGTGACAGGAAACGTAGCACTGTAAGGCTGCATTCAGGAGACTTGATATTGGCCGGATATACCTCTGTGGAAGTAATAGCTCCTCTCTTCATTGTCTGGAATCAAAAATCGGATTCACTGCAAGGACATGTCTACCATATCGCTCAATCGATCGATATGGTAATCTTAGCCACTAGGAGCAAAGCATGCTTCAGGGGATGAATGTATCAGCAGATCCTTGTTGATGATGCTTTGAACCGAGAATAGGATCGGAAGCTGGGGGGCTGTTCGTATATGTCTGAAGTCAGCCCTTAGGAATTTGCTCTTGTAGCCTCTTAGTGAAGACATTCCGGGTTCATTCGGTCTACTGTCGAGAGATACTTCGGAGTGGCGAACTAATGAGGGATAATATGTGCCCTCGGGATGGAGAGCCACATTCTTGGGGATTGCTATGTTGTCTTTAGGGTATGTAGTATGCGATTTGCTTCTTATTTCATTGCCACTATATGCCTGGAATGCGATGTTCATGGGTATTGATAATGGCTGTGCTGGGATAGTTCAAGGATAGATCGGAGTATCTTGAGCGGATTTTATCATGAATATGAAGATTTGTGAACTAGGATGTGCTTGTTCATGTTATGATGTGATAAAGACAACTAAATTGCTGGGCTGATCAAAGCATATTCGATCTGTTTTCTGTATTGCGGTAGAGGAGATGATTGGATTAGGAAGAAGATCAACAGGAACTGGAGAGGATTTATATAGTTGAACCATACAGGGAATTTACTAGATGTACAGGGAATTGTGCAATTCCTTTGAAAACATTGAAGTTGATAACTTCAAGTATACATGCAATGAATGATTGCGGCGGATGTTCTGCTAAGAATCATTCCCTGGCAGACTACCTACTATGTGCAATAATCTCACAATTCACAACTTTTCATAATTCACACCTTACAGCATACTTCATTTGCTCATGTGAAGAAGCTATATCGAGCGAGCAACTCAAATTTAGATCTTCTTGCTGGAGCTGTACTTGGGCGGGTACTTGATGCCAGAGTCCTTGCAGTTGGAGTCCTCGACTGGTACAATAAGTTAGTTAATGTCGTATGTTCCAATTAAATATAACTTACGTCTCTCGGAAGCAACGTAGGTGCCGCCGATGGCGCTACCCTTGACGTTGAAGTAGTAGTAGAGCTCGGACAGAGCACCGTCCTCGCACCCGACATACGGGGGGTAGCCATCGTGGATCGCGGCGAGAGCATCCTCAATGTCGCTTAGCTTGTAGGTGGTTTCCTCGGAGGGAGTAATTCCGGCGTCGGAGAGAGCCTGCTACTGTCAACATTTATAGAGAAAAGAAGGGGAGTGTGCATACGGTGTAGGAATCCAAGGTCTTGAAGAGGTCAACGACCTGCTGGAAAAAGTCACCAACTTCCTCCTGAGCGTAGTAGTCGGTGTAGCAGCTGGGCTCGATGGTGTTGATGCAGGTTCCTAGAAAGTCAACATGCCAGTTCCGAAGACAGATCGATTAGACATACCGTGCTTGTTCCATTCGTGCTCCCAGAAAGACTCGTCCTCATCAGCACCCTCGTAGTCAGGCCAGTATTCCTTCATGTAGGACAGGAGCTCGGTGCGATTCTGCGCTTCGAGGATGGAAGTGATGTTGCTGTACTCGCGAGAATCATCGCAGTACTCCTGGTAGGAGCCATCGCAGTTATCGGGCCTAGAAAGTTCATTAGCGATGATACAGAAATCGGATGTGTCAGTCCTACCAAAGTCCGTGGATGGTCCAAGAGTCGCTCGGGCCATCGGAAGGGTCGTAGTCCCAGAATTGAGTCTGGAGAAGGGAGCCTCCAGGAGAGTTGAAGCAGCAAGAAGCTTCGTTGTCGGTCTGGCAGCTCAGAGGGCTGTCAGAAGAGCAAGTGTCAATGGTAGCCAGCGCACCAGAGCTGAGCTGCATTGCGCCCAGGGCGAGCATGCCCACAGAAGGAAGGAAAGACATTATGCGTAATAACCGATCGTTAACTTCGTGAGGGAGAACTCAATGGCTGAATGAAAATCGGGAAAGCAGGGTGCAATTGACCCAATTTATACCTTAGTAGCGTGTAACTGGCGTTGGTTGCCCATATACTCCGCGTCGGTTGTCCGACTAGCGACCAGGCCACCGCATGTGGTAAGCGGGGAAATCAGCCACCGAAAGTTGAAGATAGCACATGCCCTGATAAGGACGAGCTGATTTGCCGCAATCGATCAGAAAAGCAGCCTTAGGATAGCGGAGGACGCCGTGAGGACCCGCACCTCCGCTGACGATGAGCTGCCGAATTGGCCAATTGACCGGTGTAGCGGTGGTCTGCAGTCGGTCTGGAGGATGAGCCGTCGGGGCGCCATCGGAGGTTAGGCCGAAGAGTGGGTAGAGCGAGCAGACCAGCCAAATTAACCAAGAGCGAGGCAATCAGGTCCCAAGCTGCGTATCAGAAGTTGTTCTTGCTTTTGAGCTGAGAATTGTTTTGATTCGCTCTGGGCGGAGTGATCTGCAGGACCGGAGGATGGATTAATTTCAGGAACCGGGCAACCCGTCAGCAATGGGCGAATGGCATCGCCAGAGCCGGTGTTGGCTGATGTTGACGACCAGGATTAGAGGCAAACCAACTCATGAAGAAATAATGGATGAAGGAGGAACAGGAAAGAATGTCCGACCTGTTCGTGCAGCAGCCTATTATCCGACACAAGCCGGGTGTAAAGGGGGGATAGTATAGGCAGTGAAGTTGGTGGTTCGAGGTTCGTGTCACCAGCAATTTCGCAGTCTTCCAGAGACGAGTACCAAGAGATAGCATCCCAGTCGGTTGTTAAGCACTTGATCAGAGATATCATTATTGAAGGCGAAGGATGTCTTGGCTCATGCTATCTACTCCGTAGTTAGTCTAACGAGTACTAATGGCTTGACAGTTGACAAGATAACGCAGAATGCGTATCTCTATCACGAATGCAATCTCGTACGACTGCCAGTGCATGACATCAACCACTTCAGAATAAGCAGTTCTCAATCCAAATACTGAATGTTGAGGTTGAACAACGATGAAGAACAAGAGGAAGAGAGATAATCGCTCAAACTTGTAGCCTAAGGTATCAACACCATACCCGATTAAGTCAACATCGCGCCCTTTTCCCAATCGGGATTGACATCCAGAAATTGACTGAGTCAAGAGACTGAAGCAACTATATCAGCGTTCTTCTTCTATTAGAAAAACCCAGCATAGTCCAACGAGTACATATATACTCAAACCTATACACTTACACTCCAATCATCCACTCCAGCCAACTCGCAGGAATAGGAACATCAAGAAGAATCACTAAACTCCATCCAACCCACCCCGCAAAATCCTTTCAACCAACCCCAAAGAAACATCTCCAAATAACTACATCTACACCCAAGAAAAAAAGAATTAAAAATGCCCCCAACCTACCAAATAATTCCCGCCACAACCCCCCACCACCTCCTCGCCGCCCGCACCCTCTTCACAGCCTACGCCGCCTGGCTCAACATCGACCTAACCTTCCAAAACTTCCAGGCCGAGCTATCCTCTCTCCCCGGGAAATACAGTCCTCAGGAAGGCGGTGACCTTCTCCTCGCATACAGCAGCAGCGCAGACCCCTCTTCCTCCTCCTCTCCGCTAGGCTGCGTGGCTCTTCGTCCGCTCCCAGTCAAGGACGATGAGCGACAGCAACTCTGCGAGGTCAAGCGGCTATATGTTGCACCCGAAGCGCGGAAGATGGGACTGGGGCGGGCGTTAGTGAGTGCGATTGTGACAAGGGCGAAGGAATTAGGGTATCGGGGAATGAGACTCGATACGTTGCGGAGTATGGAAGGGCCGATTCGGTTGTATCGGAGTCTGGGGTTTGTGGAGGTTGGGCCGTATTATGAGACGCCTTTGGTGGAGGAGACGGTGTTTTTGGGGTTGGATTTTGGGGAGGAGTAGATCTTATTCTAAGGTACGGAGTACGTACTTTGGGGGGGGGGGGGGGGTAAGGGGTTGGTTCTAGTTTCTTTTGCATGT